CTGGGCTGAAGGCAGAGGCTTAACCCACTGAGCCACCCAGGCGCCCCCTGAGAATCGTGCTATTGCTACCACTGTCCCTTTCCCCTTTGAAACTTCTTCAGAATGTTGATACTTCAGTACCTTTAAATGCATTCAGAAAATTTTAAACTTTGATGTTGCATAAAACAATCATGACTTTTTACAAGCTCTTTTTGGTTCTCCTAGATTAAGGACAAAAGATATAAATACTTATTATCTGGTCAAAAACATCATAAATGTTCTATTTGACTTGTATTTTGAAGACACGATGGTACTGATTTTAAAACGTTTAATAGGGTGCACTTCCCCTCTTCTTTACTCTCAGAATTTGGAAATTAAAACTGATACAGCCAAGTCTTTGGCTGACTCTTTGGACCGGGCGGATTCTCCGACTTTTCCGTATCTCAACACTCTCTTAAGGATCTTAGCCACTCGCTGTATGATGCAGGCTGTGTACTTCTGCTCTGGAATGGATAACGATTTTCATCACTATGGCTTAGCTTCGCCGATATACACACATTTTACTTCACCCATCAGAAGGTATTTTTTCCTTGTAAAATTATAGGAGATAGAAAATAGTTAATTTTGAATTGTAAAAAGATATTTTAATGTTAACATACCATGATTGTTATTTCTCCTTCATGTATCTAGATATGCAGACATCATTGTCCATCGATTGTTGGCGGTGGCTATTGGGGCTGACTGTACTTATCCAGAGTTGACAGACAAACACAAACTTGCAGATTTATGTAAGAATCTCAATTTCCGGCACAAAATGGCTCAGTATGCCCAGCGTGCATCGGTGGCTTTTCATACCCAGGTATTTGCCTTCTGTCAGTAATATTAGGGGAGATGAAGTTTTGTTCACTTTAATTTCAGAATACTTTTTGTTAATTTCAAAAATATTTTAAGATAATCCTTAATAAGGCTGTATGTTATTTTACAGTTGTTTTTCAAAAGCAAAGGAATAGTAAGTGAAGACGCCTATATTCTATTCGTAAGAAAGAATGCTATTGTGGTGTTAATTCCAAAGTATGGTTTAGAAGGTACCGTCTTTTTTGAAGAAAAGGACAAACCAAAGCCAAGGCTTATTTATGATGATGAGGTATAGTATTTCTAATGTTTTGATCTTGGGGTTTTTGGAGGGGGTACTTTTTCTTCAATGGTACCTAGAAAGGATAAAATTATTTTTGTATCCTGCAGATGTGCAGATATATTTAATAAGCTTATTCTATTCATAATTTCTCATTTCAGTATATCTTCCCACATACAGATGTTGTCCTTGATTTGTTTTACACCATGTAGTTTCCCCCCTAAGGAAAACTTAAATTATGCTTTGCACAGTTGGACAGATGCATTAAAGTAAAGGAATACATGGCTGCTTTTAGCTCAGAATTTTTTAGACCTATTTCCAGTGTCTCTTTTCTGACAAACTGTCTACTTCCCTAACTTTAATAGAACTACAAAACAGCAAACTTTGCCCACAGTACCTTTTCCTCTGGTAGACCAACAATTTGCTAATTAATGGGGTGAGAATCCTGAGATTAATTAACACATATATTGGACCATCTTACTGAAAGGGGGAAGTATACCCATAAATAGGTCATATGTATGTGAAGCTGTTATATTGTAATTGTTATATTGCAATTGTTATATTGTTATATTGCAATTGTTATATTAATACACACTTAGATGTGTATTAAATATGGAAATAATTTTTTAAATGTAGACTTTTAATGGGAACCGTAAAAAACTAGAACAAACGTTAAGTATAAGGTAACAATTTAAAATTATAAAATGTGTTTTGTTTAGATACCTTCCCTTAAAATAGAGGATACAGTGTTCCATATATTTGATAAAGTTAAAGTGAAAATCATGCTAGACTCATCCAATCTTCAGCATCAGAAAATCCGAATGTCCCTAGTAGAACCGCAGGTAAGACCGAACTTCAGTGTCTATGTTGTGATGGTATAAAAGGTACATACTGTGTGAAAGAGAATGATACAATTGTAAGTTATTTCTGTTCAAGAATAGAGAAATCTTACAAGCAGTGTGGGAGCCAGATATTTACGTAGCAAATTCTGTTTTCTCACTGACTTCCCTACCCTGTGGGATCCGAGACATTCGGGATTCTGTGAAAAATGTCCTCAGTGCCAAAGGCAGAGAGCTTTATGAGATCGCCTGCCTGGTCCTTTTTCATTTGTATGAGTTTTAAAATCTGCACTTTTAAAGATGAAGATAAAGTATGTATCACTCTGAGATACTACTTCTTAACCTTGTTCGGTCCTAGCACACCAGAGGCCTCTGATGCTGCCTGCTGTAGTGGCTCAGCCAGGATAGACTGGATGTGTTCTCTTTAAGCCACTCTCCACATGACATGTTTCCCCCCCGTTGAGACGGTGTCCGTCTTTCACGTTTTTGAACCACTATTTGTGTGTGAAATATGTATACTTGGTGTGGAAGACCTTTACTAACCTCCTTTCGCCCTCTCTCCAACATCCTTTTAAACTTAAAGTGTCAGTGGGGAAGGAGATGATGAGAATGAGATTTATTCCTTATTTTATGCTTTTTCTCACCTTATTTTTTCTGTTTGCGTTACTTTAGATACCAGGAATAAGCATTTTGGCTGATACTCCAAACATGGACATTGATGAACCAGAGAGAAAGAAGAAGAAACGTGAGAAATAGCTACCATCAACAAAAAAACTTCAAAGACTGGTTTCCTTAAAAAAAAAAAAAAAAAAAAAAAACCAAACCTTGAGAAAACACTTTTAAACCTTGGAAGTGTGTGATACAGTTTGTTACTTTTAAATACATTGTAATGGTTTTAAAAATTTGCATTTTTATTGAACTGTTTGTTGACTGTGTCTGGCCCATCATGCTTGTTACTTCATTTCTAGATTGAACTGAACTAGTTATGCATAAAAATTCAATTGAATATCCATCACTTAAATAGTGACAAGATAGCAACCTCAGGGATCTGTAAAGACCATTTAAATGGAGCATTCGTCTGCTCACTAAAGAACAGATTAATTTTATATAAGTAATTTGATTATTTAATATTGATAGAAAAAAAATTATCATTTTCCTATGGAGGAAAATAGAACATTTTCAGAAGTCAGGAACAATCTGTTCTAAGTTTTGAAAGATGTCCATGTTTGATATGGTAGTTTTTAGATTTCAAGACAATGACATCAAGATTTGTCAAGGAATTCAGTCCTTTGCCATCTTTAATGTACCCAATTTATATGAAGTGTTCTCTTACTGTTAAAAGCTTCCTGCATTTTTATTAGTGGTCCTGAACAGCTGTGTTTGGGATGAATGTTGTAGGAAGGCAAGAAGGATATTTGGAGCTGCCTAGAATAAGTTTTTTCTTATACCAGATAATAAGTATGGTGATCATCATCCTTGACCGTTAGCTCACATCTCGCCCAAAATGAGGCATTAGGGCTCAAAGAGCAAATAGAGATGGCACTTTAAACATCTGCATCATGTTACTTATAAAACACAGGTCATGAATGGCTTTTAAATTGTGTATGTATCAGGTTCTATAGGAAAAGGGGGGATTGTGTAAGAACATATTAAAGGGGACAGTCTTAAGTAAATATTACAACTTGGTGTGCCTTGTTCATCACAAAGATTAGTAATTATTTTGTTTTTTAAGAATGTTTTGAGATAGTTATCTTAAAACACTTTACTTTGCTTATTCAATTTCTAAAGTACTTACAACATACCAGGCTCCACAGAGTCAAGTGAACTGTCTCTGCCTTGAAGGAGCTTGCAGTCCAATGAGAAGGACCAGCAAATGAATCAACAGGTCTACTAAATGGGAATAATGACCCAGTGTACAGTCCTTTAGGCCCTCAGTGATTGCTGAGTGACTGTTCCAGTTTCCTCCTACAGAGGAAAAGATCTGTATGTTGAGGCAGAACTTGTTTCAGTTGAACGAAGATGACTTTGGTCTTGGTACCAAGTAGCGGGCTCACACGCCAGAGAGTCAGCACGCCTTTTCTGTGAAGGACCAGCCACGTTAGACTCCGCGAGCCATGCAGTCTCGGTTACAACCATCGTTCTCAACTCTCCTTAAACAGCATGAAAGCAGCCGCAGACAGGATGTAAACAAGCGCGGCTATGTTCCCACAAAAACTCACATTTCCTAACTTTGATGTGTCACAAAACCCATTTGATTTCCACCTCTCCACCATTTAAAAATCCTTTGCTGACAGCCCATAGTTTACTTGGAACAGAAGGAAAGGGAGGCTTCTTGGTTAAACAAGGCAATGGCTAACCTTTGGTCTTTCCATGTTTGTTTTCTTGGGTCTCATTTAGGAGGAAGGCCTAATTCAGGCATTAGTCCTTATTGGATAGGTCAAGATGACCAGAATCGTTATTTTCATCCAAAGCCTTGTCTTCAGTAATTTAAAATGCTTCTAATGCCAGTTTTTATGCTAAGCAGCACATGGAATATTACATTCAAAAAGCCCTGCCTGGGTTGTTCAGTGGGTTAAGCCACTGCCTTTGGCTTGGGTCATGCTCTCAGGGTCCTGAGACCCTGAGGTCCCCGCGTCAGGGTCCCGCGTCAGGCTCTCTGCTCAGCAGGGAGCCTGCTTCCCCCTCTCTCTCGGCCTGCTGCTCTGCCTACTTGTGATCTCTCTCCCTCTCTCTCTCTCTGCCAAAGAAATAAATAAATAAAAATCTTTAAAAAAAAACGAAGTAGTAACTAGAACAGAATTTGTACACAAATGAACGAATCAAGAATAAAAAATTCTGGAAAAATGCTTACTCTCCTTTCTACTCTTCAACTTTGTTTTATATCTAAGATTTATTTCTTTCACAAAGATTATAAATGTAAATTCATCTGTATAGTCACATATTTTTATGTAAAATAAAACAGTACCCTCACAATTCCACATGTTCTTAAAACTACTGCTAAATTCTGTCCTGTTGGTAAGGTTTACTATTAGGCAGTTCACTAACCCTGTGGGATAGGAGCAAAGTCCTTGTTCTCGAATTTTTTTTAATTGTTAAACACATCAATCAAGGTAAGTACAAAAATATTTATTAAAAAAAATACAGTTGTACTTCGATGAGTTGAAAGTTCCAGGAGCTTTTCTGTTCCCATGTCACTAAATTAAGCCCTTGATTTTTCACATTAAGGGGGGAAAGAAAAAAAGCTAAGCATGTTAGTTGAAGCAACTTTTTCCCAATCACGATCACATTATTGATCCTCTGCATAAAAATTAAGTGAGGAGCCACTGTGTGATGGACCTTGGCTTTGAGAGGTATTCTATGGACTGCTGCCTTGATGGGAAGTTTCTGTGTTCATTCAACACCTCTGTGTTACACGGTCTTCCTGTGGGGTGGGGAAAAAGCAGAAAATATCTTATTTGCTGCTTGAAAAGGACCATTCAAGGGTGCAGGGCAAAACTACCATGTTTTAAAACCTGAATGCAGATTTCCTTATGAATTCTAAAAGCACAGTGAAGATAGGGTTTTCTATAAATCAATATTCTGCATCAAAAAGTCCTTTTCCTGTACCCTAGTGCCTGCTTGCTTCTAAATGAACAACTACAATCACACCTCAACAAAATGGAGGAAAAGGAAATTAAGGTAGCCTCCATATTATATATTAATATTCATTGGGAGAGAATTATGTTCAGTTGCACAGTTGCTGGTGTTTATTGTGTTTATGAACAAGTTGACATAAAAATGAAAGATTCTCCTGATCAGTGCCTATAATTATGATGGCTTTCCCTCAAATATGCATATATAGTTGCAACCATCCTATCAAGAAGGTACAGTAAATGTCCTAATCAAAAGCATACCTCTGTACAAATACTTAGTAGGTAAGGTATGTTATTTATAGTCTTGAAAGGCTTTTGGATTTTAAAGAAAAGAGCCCTTACTTTTGAGAGTTCTTATTTTGATGTGTGGTCTCTCTGTTGTATCATTTTCTTAATGATCGAAATTCTTATGTTGAACTTTGAAATAATGTTAGAGGCAAAAAAACTGTCTTGGCACCCCTTATTCCCATTCCTCTTTAGTTTTAAGAAAAGGAGTTCAGGTGCCTGCTCCAAAGTAGGACTAGCTCTCCTTCTCCAACCTCTTAACCTCTCCCATAACCAGAGAGTTATTTTGGAAAATGAAGTGTTTTGATTTAAAAACCACCATACTGGGGTACCTGGGTGGCTCAGTGGGTTAAGCCTCTGCCTTCAGCTCGGGTCATGGTCTTGGGGTCCTGGGATTGGGCCCCATGTTGGGCTCTCTGCTCGGTGGGGAGCCTGCTTCCCTCTCTCTCTCTCTCTGCCTGCCTCTCTGCCTACTTGTGATCTCTCTCTGTCAAATAAATAAAATCTTAAACAAACCACCATACTCTGCTAAATGAACCAAAACTAGGATGAGGCATAAACAAATGATGATTAACAAAATTTTAAGCAAAATGGGTGGAAAATACACTGAAAAAAAAAATTTTATTTTAAAGATTTTATTTTTAAGTAATCTTTACACCCAAGGCAGAGCTTGAATTCACAACTCTGAGATCAAGTCACATGCTCCACCAACTGGTGCCCCTGAAAAAAGTCATCTATAATGAATACTTACACAACCATATCAAGCTTTCTCTGTCTTTTCCATACCTTTGTATTAAAAACTTGAGACTTATGCTCAACTTCCAAGCTTTGTGCATCACTATCTGCTCCAACCGTATCCATAATATTGCTCCCACAATTCTGTGTGTTATAGCCACTATCCATCTGCTAGGAAAGAGGAAAAAACACTAAGGATAACACTGCAAACTAACTCAGCCACAAAATTAGAGGAACTCATATCTAAGTAAAATTAAAAATATTTATATAAAATGTATTTCTAAAATTATATATTCCCATAAAATACAAGTTAATAGTTATATATATAAAATAAGTAGTTATATATATAAAATAAGTGAATCACTATATACTACCATTCGCAAGTAAACAATACAATGTACTATTTAATATCATAATGAAATTTAAAATATAGAACTATAAAAGGTAGTTCTATACAGAACTGGTTGTTCTTCAAAGTTGTCACTGTATTACACCATTCCTTTTGATAAAATACATCTTGTTGTGTCCTTTGTAATCTGTGAACAAGCCATTATGAACTTGCTTTCCTGTTACTTTCACCCCCATTAGATAAAAGTGAGGATTACAATAAAACTCGAAGAAGCTCTCACTTCCCGAAATTGATAAAACTAACTGAGCTAGGAAATAAATGGAAATCTGCCATTTCGCTTTCCCAAGCCCAAGCTCCTTAAACCATGCTAGACCCCAGCTACAAATATATACACTCACGTCCATCCGCCACCCCTTGGTCCCCTATAAAAGTGGAAGGGTTACTTGTGTTAATCCTCTTACCAGAGCTCTAGATTCTATCCCATCTCACAGACCTCAGTTCCCTAATGTATAAAATTCATTACTATTTTACATATTATATTTATTCCATCTGCTGTAAGGCATCATGAGGATTAGATTCTAACTGTAAAACCATAAAAGACTCTTAATCTCACAAAACAAACCTGAGGGTTGCCGGGGGCAGGGGGGTATGGAGAGGGTGGTTGGGTTATGGACATAGGGGAGGGTATGTGCTATGGTGAGTGCTATGAAGTGTGTAAACCTGGCGATTCACACACCTGTACCCCTGGGCTAATAATACACTATATGTTAATTAAAAAAAGATTCTAACTGTAAAATACCCTGATCTCTGATACATGAAAAGGATACATAATTGATACCTATTATTATTAATTATCCTGCCCAATTTCTAGTTTTCTTTGTTCTTTTTACTCTTCTCCCTCTCAAATATGCTAGTTCCTCCCATCTAAAGTAAAAACAAAGTTAAAAAACTACAAAAAGATCTTGGACTTTAATGTTCTTTTCTAGCTATGATAACCCTTCCCCTCACAACAAAGGTTCTTCAAACAGTTATCTACACATAATTTTTCACTACTTCACCTACTTTACCCTCCACTTTTCATCACTCTACCCTGACGTTGTTCACTCACCAAATTACTTCCGTTATTAACTCAACAGCCACTTTTTAAGCCCTTGCTCTTACTTTCACAGCACTAACCATTCTTTTGTTAAGATGTTACATTAACACTATGCTTTCCTCAGGTCCCTCTCTCTGGCTGGTCCCTCTCAGTTTCTTTTGGGGGCTCTGCTTCCTTTAACAAACTCTTGACTTTTCCTCAGGGTTCCAAACATCAAATGGCTTGTGTTCTCACTTTATACAGTCCTTCCAGTTGAACTTACCTATACATTCATTCTGTTTTCATTCCAAACATTTAACAAGTAGCTATTACACATAAGTTCTGGGATAAACAAAAACATACATGACTGCTCGATAAATGGTCTGACTGGAAAGAAGGCAAAGTGTACATGGAATTATGAAAGCATATAATGAGATCTAGCTTGGCTAGTGTGATCATGGAGGGCTCCTTTGAGGAGGTGATTATTAAGTTGTGAACTAAAAAACTAATAGGAGCTAACTAGGTAAAGTGGGAGAGATAGGAATTCTAAGCTGTGGGGGGGAAAGGTTCTTCATTTAAAACTCTGGAAAGCTAATGTGACTGAACAAAGAGAATAAAGGGAAACAAAATGAAGCTGACGAGTAAGGTAAAGGTCAGACTATTGGATGTTTTGCCAGCCATGCTACAGATTTTTAAATTAATACCAAAAGCAAAAACAAAACAACCCCCTCTGCCCACAAAAGGCCTTAGAAGTTAATGATGCACCAACAAAAATGAGATAAAAAATATAGCAGAAGGATTTTTAAAAATTGGAGAATTACAAGGAAATTCCAGAAAGAAAAGTGAAAGTGAGAGAGGAGAAATCTAAGATATTATTAAAAAAAAAAAAGATCAAAGAGGTGAAGGGCATGAGTTTACAGATCGTAAGGCTCTGCTAAATGCCCAGTACTATGGACAAAAAGATACCCATGCCAAAGAATCGCTGAAATTTCTGAACACTGTAGACAAAGAGAAGATCTTATACATGTCCAGGGGTGGGTAAAAAGAGACCATATACAAAAGATTAAGTATTAAAAATGGTTTCAGATCCCTCACCAGTAATAATGAAATAGAACCAATGAAACAATGCCTTCAAAGTCTGAAGGACGATTATTTCCAAACTCTCATGTGAGAGAATGAAGAATACATGATCAGACATGCAATATCTAAAATATGTACTCCTTTTCACAAAGCTTCCAGAAAATGTGTTCCAGTAAAGTAAGAGGTAAACCAGGAAAGAGAAGAATGGAATGCAGAAAACAGAAGACAGAACATAGGAAAGGTGAAGAGAATTCCCATTGTAAAGGGACATTCTGGGATGAGAGCTTATACCGCAATTGGAAGCTAACAAGTCCACAATAAAGCAAGTCAAAAGGCCCTGAGAAAATATGGCTATCTTCAAGTGGTTAGAAGTTGCCTTTGTGGTAGGAAAATAAGAATGTCTGAAGTTTCTAAACTATCAAATGCTCTACCAAAGGTAAATATTATTATGATATGGCCCAAAGCGTCAAACTGAAACTGACTGGTAGATACCACAGACAGCATATTTTATAAGAGAAGCCCGAAAATGGATTCTATTCCCCTGCAGGCACTCAAGCACAGAGTGGATGACAATTTAGTAGTGATAGAGGCTTCCGATGGGTAGTTGAGTTAGATGATTAAAGTGTATTTCAATGAAAGCATTTTGATTCTTTTATAAATGTTCTGAAAAAAAAAAAAAAAAGGTAGTGAGGAAAAGTTAATACCTTGAAGGCTAAGTTTGATGTAAGTGCTTTTTCACTTAGGAACCAAATTTAGAAGCTAACAGATATAAAAGCGATTCTAGTCTATTTTTCTGAGCAACGATCTTGGAAGTCAGGAGAGACAATATAGACATAAAAACATGAGCAGATGATTATATTTAATTTTGGGTCATTTAGAATCCTCCTGTGAGTTTCAAATTTTAGCATTCTGAAAAGGTGGGAGGGAGAATTATGATGGAAGAATTAAATAACTGACTACATATAATGTGGTCGGAAAAGCACCTGACACACTGAAACATCACGTTTGTGTCAGCTATTACCATGAGTCAGTACAAACTCAGATTCAAGAACTTGAGCTCTAAAGCCATACATACCGCAGGATTCAAATCTTGGCACCACTACTTGCTACCAATGAAGGTAATTTACTTAACCTCTATGACCCTCAGTTTCCTCACCTGTAAAATGGGGATAAGTATCCATCTATTTCACAACAGCCCTGTGAAGATTCAATAAATTAAACACATGTAAAATACAGTGAATGTGGGACGCCTGGGTGGCTCAGTGGCTTAAGCCTCTGCCCTCAGTTCAGGTCATGATCTCAGGGTCCTGGTATCAAGTCCCACATTGTGCTCTCTGCTCAGCAGGGAGTCTGCTTCCCCCTCTCTTTCTGCCTGCCTCTCTGCCTACTTGTGATCTCTCTGTCAAATAAATAAAATATTTAAGAGCTACAACAAAAATACCAGTGAATGTGAATATTAAACATGCACCATCAGTCCCAAATAAAAGAAACTAACCCTCTTAGTATCATCATGTACTGATACTTTTAAAAAGTTATTTAATACTCCAGTCCTCACATTTAACCCATCTTCTTAGTATAACCTCAGAAAAAGAAAGAATAAGGGAGAAAGTAAAGGACTCCAGAATATTAAAATTTCTTACCTGAATGTTACTGTTTTCACAAGGAATGACACTGCTCTCCGCAAGAGGTGACATGCATATATGAGAGTTTTCAATACTGAAGGCAATCCCATTCACAAAATCAGTGATGGGCAAACTCCCATTATCAACCGGCTCCTTAATCCAAGTGTTCTCATCTGCTATTTCTATGGGATCAACCATATCCACAGTGTTGTTCTCTTTCTCACTTTCAACATCCTGCAACAGTGCTAATTCTTTCTCAGAAGTGCTGGACTGATTCTGTGTAATAGACACGGCGGTGACTACCAAACGTGCGCCATGGGCTGCAGTGTCACTCTTCGCCTGCCGCAGGGGTACTCCACCTGTGTCCATGGCTGGTGACGAGGCATCTGCGCAAGGAAGATTCAGCTGATCTTCTTCGTCTTTCCCGTGAGCCTCAAGAGCAAAAGGTATCCGAATCAGGGACGTCCGACACTGAGTACCACCTGTGCACATCTCGAGTCTCATGGGAGACCAATTCTTAATTGGTGAGCAGCCATCTATATAAGGACTTCTGATGCATGGATTAGTAATTCCATTAGAATGTGCTGTTCCAGATGAATTATCAGGGGAATGAAAAGTAAACTTTCTTTGTTCTAAAAGATTGAAAGGGAAAAATTCCATCATAAGAACATGCAAATGGAAAAGACATTACTAAGGTTTTAATGCCCAAAAAACTGGATTTCTAGAACATTGTACTGTTTACTGAAGTGAAGTTTTGGTGAAGTTTTGGTGTTAAAAAAGAACAGCACAAATGATTGTGTCTCAATAAGTAGGATAAGACTCTTCAAAAAGAATTCCTCTGGCACTTGCTTTTAATTAAAAAAAAAAATTTTATTGGGGCACCTGGGTGGCTCAGTGGGTTAAAGCCTCTGCCTTCGGCTCAGGTCATGATCCCAGGGTCCTGGGATCGAGCCCCGCATCAGACTCTCTGCTCAGCGGGGAAACTGCTTCCTCCTCTCTCTCTGCCTGCCTCTCTGCCTGCCTCTCTGCCTACTTCTGATTTCTGTCTGTCAAATAAATAAATAAAAAATCTAAAAAAAAAAAAATTTATTCTCTGAGAATTATTTCCTCATAAACATATTGCTCCAATAGTAATAGTGCTCATATACAAAGAAGATACTGGACAAATCAGCAGAGAGCTACAAGTTAATAGCTATACCTGGTAAATGAAGGAGGTAAATACCTTGCAAAAACAGTATAAGCAATGTTAAAAGGCATGCAAAAAATTGTAAAATAATATTTGCAATAAGAAAGAGCTTAACAATCATAATCAAAATGGTAAAGGTGCTTTAAAATATAATGCTTCTTATAACTTCAATGGCTTAACAAAAACAGAAGTTTAAAAAAAAGGGCAAGGGCCCAGAAACAATCCTCCCAATGGCAAATAAACATGAAGTGGTCAGCCACACAAACAATAAAAAAATACAAAAGTTAAAGCAATAAGAAAGAAGTTGTTTAACAAAAACAGTGAAGTATGAACTAAGAATCCCTCTCCCCAAATAAAGGGCCAATAAATATTTGGAAAGAGTTCAACAGCATCAAAATCAAAGACACAAAAATGAAAGCAGTAAGAAACATTTTTGTAATATAACAAATTAAGAAACATCACAAAGAATGGTAATACCAATGCTTCTAAACAGGAGAAACTGGCTTTCTTACATACGATTGATGAAAATTTCAACTGATGCAACATTTTATGAAGAAAATTTGACAAAATTCATCAAGATCCTTAAAAATGTTCACCCCCTTTGACCAAATAATTCTACTTCTGAGAATTTAAACTAATGTACAATATAGTGTATAAACAAAAATAATTATTTTAATAAAAAATTAGAAATAAGGTTCATCAGTGGTTGAAAACAAATGATACATCTGTGATCAATGATTAAAAATCACTGTTTCATACAATAATAAATGATTTGAATGACCTATGAAAATGTTCACAGTACAATTCTTTGTGAAAAAAACAGACCACTTGGGGTGCCTGGGTGGTTCAGGGGGTTAAAGCCTCTGCCTTCTGCTCGGGTCATGATCCTGGGGTCCTGGGATCAGGCGCTGCATCGGGCTCTCTGCTTGGCGGGCAGCCTGCTTCCCCCATCTCTCTCACTGCCTGCCTCTCTGCCTACTTGTGATCTCTCTCTGTCAAATAAATAAATTAAAAACAAAACAAAAACAAAACAAAACAAAACAAAAACAGACCACAGAACTATGGTGGGTGTCTATCTCCTCATAAAAGTGCACATGTATTTATGCAAAAAAATACATATATATATACATACACTAACAAAAGTAGTTTTCAGGTTTCCAATTTTATTATGAATAACTTTTAATTTTTTCAAAAGGAGTTACAATTTTTTTTCTAAGAAACTAACACATTGCAAAAAGAAACACGTAAATTTCCACACACTATATTTACCTTAAAATCTGACTCAAACAAATATATCTTTACAAAATATGAATACCTGATTACCAAATTCTGAAAGTACAGGTCAGAAGGCACACAGAAACGAACTTAACTCTAAATTTGCCATCTTTCTTTGATTCCCTTTACAAGAACACTTGATATAAATACTGCTAATCAGATGGCCGGTGTTTAATACTAGAGTAGAACTTTGTTGAGAATCCAGGTTTTGAAGGTAAATTGTTCCTTTCGTTAAAAAAAAAAAAAGCCAGTTTTTAAATTTTTGAAGATTAGTAATCATTTAGAAGCTCTACAGTTGGAACAAGTTAAAAAAGAACATCTTTAATAACAAATGTTGGTAAACGTAAAAATTGAAATTAGGTATTTTCTTAGGAGACATACCTGAGAGTGGAGTCTTTCCTATTTGAAATGCAATTGGTGAGAAAGTGGGTGAAGTAAGAGGTGAAGGGCTGGTTATACTTCCCAAGCTGTATTTTTTTGCACTGTCCTGAATAGGGCTGGAAGAAAACTGCCCCTGTGATAAAAACAAAATTATACTATTCTCTTTCTCAATTTGTTATACCATATGCTATTTACTTTCATCTTCAAAACACGTTTACAAAGTAGGTTCATAAAAACTTTGATCATTCACCAAAAGGCAAAGCATCTTATAATGAGAACAATTAGGAAGACTATTAGAAACATTTTGAAATAGAGTATGTTGGTTAAAATAAAATATAAATGCCATGTTTAAACAAACCATTCTATTTCATAGGAGCAGCTATTTATGAGCACCTTTAAATTAGATTACTCAATTAATGTCAATCCAGTTGTGGTGTACTGAAAACCTTACTTAGTTCAGAAAACAACTCACACTGAAATTCCTTGAGACTCATGATTAATCTGATCCTGTATACATCTAAATATAAAAATGGAGTCTAACCGAAACATTCCTGACTAATGACAAAATGTGAACTAGGCTAGCCCTCATGAGATATAAAGTCCAAAGGCAACCATTCAATCCCTGAGCACAAAATGAGCGTCCAGGTCCATCTATAGCCAACTACACAGCACACTTCAAGCACAACTTCTTACCGAACTTGGTGTCTGCACAGGGCTCCTACACTGTACAGGAGATAAATCTATCGAATAAAAAACCTCCAGTGAGGCTTGAGCACCACCGCAAGGACTTCTGGGAGAAGCTGGAGGTAAGGAGTCAGAAATACTTCCGTTGCCATCTAAAAACAGCTTTCTTCTGAGGGATGAAGAACTGAGGTTTCCAGGAGACTGATCTGAAAATTCATCAGCTCTAAAATAGTCACCTATATTTAATAATAACAGAAGTAAAGACAAAAGTAGTCATTTTAAAGAGCAATTATTCTTCAGTTACGTGATTTTTTTTTAAAAAACAGCATGTAGGGGCGCCTGGGTGGTTCAGTGGGTTGGGGCCTCTGCCTTTGGCTCAGGTCGTGGTCCTGGGGTCCTGGGAATGAGCCCCGCATCTGGCTCTCTGCTCGGTGGGGGGCCTGCTTCCCTTCTCTCTGTCTCTGTCTGCCTCTCTGCCTACTTGTGATCTCTGTCAAATAAATAAAATCTTTGAAAACAAAACAAAACAAAACAAAAAAACCCAGCATGTACTATTTATTTGAATTTTGTTCAAAAAAGAGGGCAAAGTTTAATTGCATATGTGATGTTTGAAATCTGAAATTACTCCTTCTTTTTTGAATACTTCATTATTAGGGTAGGTAAACCAGTAAGATGTGCTGATGAATAGTTTATGTCTGCAGCAAAATTCATTATGACAAAAGGCTAATCAGGCCAAGTTAAAGAAAAAGAAAGTTTAGCACTATATCCCCACTTCTTTAGAAAGAGACACTGCCACCTACTTCCATTTACAAAAAGCCATCAAAACAAAACCTGCTAAGTTATTAAAGGTTTAAACAAATACAATACTTACCTAATACATTTTCTAAATTAAAATCCACAGGAAGAGACAGCAATGTCTGACAAGCAGCTGGAAACAAGCAGATAAATAAATACAAACATGGATAAATCAATGCAAGCATATTACATGCAATTTACCATGTGCTTCCCAATCAACCATCTCCCCATGATGTTCCAGCCAAATTGAATTATTTCATTTATGCATTCTATTAAAAACATGCCACCCTTCTATAAGCAGTTTGCCACCCCTTCCAGCTCTGACATAAACCTGTTAGTGGTAAGAGTTAATTTCTGGTTGTACTGCTGGCTCTGAAAAGAAGCCCATCTCCACAGCTGACCCCCGAACAACATGGATTTAAACTGCATGGGTTTACTTAAATGTCCATGTTTTTCAATAAATACAGTACAGTACTGTATAAATGTAGTTTCTCTTCCTGAGGATTTTCTTAACAGTTTCTTCTAACTTACTTTATTGTAAGAATACAATACATAATACATGATGTACAAAATACCTGTTAATTGACTATGTTATTAGTAAGGCTTTCAGTCAACAGTAGGCTACTAGCAGTTAAATTCTGTGGGAGTAAAAAAGTTATATATGGATTTTTGAGTGCATGGGGGCTGGTACCCTTGGCCCCCATGTTGTTCAAGGGTCAAGTGTATTTGGGATAGATATCCTAAATATTCACGAATTTTCAGAAAAATGCTTTCCAACACCAGAAATCGACTCACATGCTTCAAATAACAATAACAACACACACACACACTACTGCTATTTCTAAAACATGGAGGGACATATGTATTCTAATTTTTTTGAAAAAAGTTAGCTCTCCTATGGCTCATTCATAATTAAATAATTTTGATTTCAGAGTAAAGTGTTATCACAAAGACTGAATTTAAAATCAAATGTAGCTTAATGTGGAACATTCTTCAGTTCAGATTATATTCATACTCACCATTGCTTTTCTCAGAATGGATGGTCAGTTTTCGTCCAATCGGAGATTCACTAGTTATATTAATACCTATAAAACATTTTAAGTGTCAAATCTTACATTTTATATTCTCCATATACTTTAAGGGTGACCTTTTCCAGAGTAAAAAAAAAAAAAAAAAAAAAAAAAAGGTGAAAACTTTCATTTTATAACAGTTTAAAAATAAGTATCTGCACATATAATAATTTGGCATGCTTCTGCTAGTTTTTTAAATTTTGAAGAAGCACAAAGATAAAATTTGAAGAACTACCACAGCAAATAAAGAGGCACAAATAGGGGCGCCTGGGTGGCTCAGTGGGTTAAGCCGCTGCCTTCGGCTCAGGTCATGATCTCAGGGTCCTGGGATCGAGTCCCGCATTGGGCTCTCTGCTCAGCCAAGAGCCTGCTTCCCTCTCTCTCTCTCTGTCTGCCTCTCTGCCTACTTGTGATCTCTGTCAAATAAATAAATAAAATATTAAAAAAAAAAAGAGGCACAAATAACTCTTTTTAAGGAAAGTATGGTTACTCTGTATTTATGTCAATCTTAAAAGACTGAGGATGCACGTTAGTCAAACCTCAAAGTCCTCAGACAGATCTCTGATGCTTAATGCTTTTGCAAAATGGGTTATATAAATTGTCTGAATTAAAATGCCAGATCATTTTAACAAAACCTAAAGTTTGATAAAACTATGTTCAGTTCATTTTCATAGCAGGAATCAAAGGTAGGGCTGCAAATTTTTTTAAATAATTTTTTTGAAGATTTTATTTATTTGACAGAGAGAGACACAGTGAGAGAGGGAACACAAGCAGGGGGAGTGGGAGAGGGAGAAGCAGGCTTCCCGCAGAGCAGGGAGGCCTGATGCAGGGCTCGATCCCAGGACCCTGGGATCATGACCTGAGCTGAAGGCAGAAGCTTAATGACTGAGCCACCCAGGCGCCCCTGCAAATATTGTTTTTAATTGAAAATTAATGACTACTAAGTTTTGTAACTTGAAAATCATGAGATTAAAAAAAACCACACAGGGGCGCCTGGGTGGCTCAGTGGGTTAAGGCCTCTGCCTTCGGCTCAGGTCATGATCCCAGGGTCCTGGGATGGAGCCCCAAATCGGGCTCTCTGCTCAGCAGGGAGCCTGCTTTCTCCTCTCTCTCTGTCTGCCTCTCTGCCTACTTGTGATCTCTGTCAAATAAATAAATAAAATCTTTAAAAAAAAAAACACACAATGACAAAAATGACTGATATAAACAAAATTAAAGAAGGAAAAGGCAAGGAGACAAAAAACAAACAAAAATGCCAGAAAGCTTAAAGAGCATTATAGAATAAAGTCTAGTAACCTAATAAACTTAAGTAAATGGGTGAATGAGTAAGTGGGTGGTGGGTAAATAAAGTATCCTAGTAAATAATGTCAGAATGAGTAAAAAAATAAATAAATAAAAATCCTACATTTGAATGCTTTCTTTGCTGTAAGCAGTGTGACCTATAAAGCAAATGTAACCAAGGCACTCTGCTGCAGAAAACCCTACCACGTCCTTGATCTTCAGGCTAGAGTCCAAATACCTCAGCATTGCAGAAAGCCCTTCAAAACCTTGTCTGTCTCTAGCACAGTTGTTCTCCAACTAAACACTATTTATTTGAGCACCATAAAGAAACCAGGTTCTCTCTCACATTTAGCTATTTCTCATACTATTTTGACATTCCTCCCTCATTTGCTTAGTCTGGTTAATTAGGTCTCAGCTGAAATTATCTTCTACCAGCATGCCTTCCCTGACCTCCTTAGATCAGAAAGACACCAACTACAACATTACTATGCTTTTTAACTCTATTGCAAGTGTTTCTTTGGTTGTTTCCTCCAGGAAGGACTTAAATAAGCTTAAAACACAATCAAATGAGAAAAAAAAAATGTATGCACTTGATTACATCAAAATAAAAATTTCTTTGCAATCAACAGCATCAAGAACAAAAATGGCATACCTATGACAGAATGGGAGATGATATATGAAATGTTTAGAACCAATATAACTTTGCTAAACAAGGTGTCTTAGAAATTACCAAGATTAAAAAAAAAAAAAAAGACAGCAACTTCAATAAAAATATAACCAATAAATTATAAATAACTATTTTACAAGAAAGGAAATTTCAAAGACCATTAGTATATAAAGAAATGAAAATTTCAACAATCATTTAGACTGTTAAACAACCCATCAGGAATTTATCAGATAAAGGGCTAGTATCCAAAATCTATAAAGATCTTAAAAAAGCAATAAATCCAGTCAAGAAATGGGCAGAAGACACAAACAGACATTTCTCCAAAGAAGATATACAAATGTACAACAGACGCATGCAAAAATGCTCCACATCACTCATCATCAGGTAAATACAAATCAAAACCACAATGAGATACCACCTCACACCAGTCAGAATGGCTAAAATTAACAAGTCAGGAAACGACACATGTTGGCAAGGATGCGGAGAAAGGGGAACCCTCCTACACTGTTGATGGGAATGCAAGCTGGTGCAGCCACTCTGGAAAAACAGCATGGGGGTTCCTCAAAAAGTTAAAAACAGAGCTACCCTATGACCAGCAATTGCACTACTAGGTATTTACCCTGAAGATACAAATGTAGTGATTCAAGCATACAATGTTCACAGCAGCAACATCCACAATAGCCAAACTATGCAAAGGGTCCAATGTTCAATGACAGATGAATGGATAAGGAAGATGTGGTATATATGTACAATGGAATATTACTCAGTCATCAAAAAATGAAATCTTGCCATTTGCAACGATGTGGATAGAACTAGAGGGTATTATGCTAAGTGAAATAAGTCAATCAGAGAAAGACAATTATCATATGATGTCACTCATATTTGGAATTGAAGAAACAAAACATAGAAGCATAGAGGAAGGGAGAGAAAAATAAGACAATATCAGAGGAGACAAACCAAAAGGGACTCTTAATCATGAGAAACAAACTGAGGGTCACTGGAGGGGAAGTAGGTAGGGCGATGAGGTAACTGGATGTTGGGCATTAAAGAGGGCACATGATGTAATGAGCACTGGGTGTTATATACAACAGATGAATCACTGAACTCTACTTCTGATACTAAATAATACACTGTATGTTAATTAATTGAATGTAAATAAAATTAGTTTTAAAAAAGGAAAGGCAAGCATTTGAAAGCTGGATAATGCCAAGTGCTGGCAGGGATGTGGGGACGTAGGAATCCTAAGCACTGCTGGTGGTCACGTAGACGGTGCAGTCATTCTGGAGAAGGGGGCCACTATATAGTCAAAACAGGTAAACACACAGTCTATATGCTAGGAATTCTCAGCCTATGTGTATATGCCAAAGCAATTCTCATTCATGTCCATAAATAGAAACACATGAGGATATTCACTGAAGCACCTCGCTGCACAAGTATGAATAACAGTAAAAGTTAACAGAATAAGCCACTGTGAATAAACCAAAGCATTTCTGCCTTTGCCTACCAGTAAAAAGACCACATAAGAAGGTAGATTCACCTGTTCAAAAATCAACGTGAAAGGAGTTGGGGGAAAAAACCAGTGTCAATGAAAATGTCACCCTGGATAGAAATTTTAGATCTAGGAGAGACAACTACGTAGTTCACCTCCTTTATTTTACAAGCTGAGGTCTAAAGAGACTGAATAATTTGATCAAGATCACCCCTATAGAGTGATATATATAAAGTATACATATAAAGCATATATATATATATAGAGAGAGAGAGACAGAGAGAGAGAGAGAGATTGGGAGGAGCAGGAGGTCTCCAGTTCAGGTCTCCATCCACTACTGCATGCTACCTTCAGTTTGTTGTGGCTGAGAACAGACTCCAACTGAGAATGTCTAGCTGTGAATCCAGGTTCTACCACTTTTATTCTCTGTCATCCTGAACAAGTGCTTCAACCTTTCTAAAACTAGATTTTCTCATCAAATGAGGCCCATAAGAGTACCTTCCTCAGGTGAGCTGTTATAAGGAATTACTGAAAGCACTTAGCACTGTCTGGCATATGGCAAGTGCTCAATCCATTTTACCAATTAATTGTGTTTTTGATAAAGAATGGAACAGTCCTTCTTACGCTGAGAGCATAATTAATGTATACTATATAGGAGAGTGGGCAATTTCACTGAAATGTACAAGTGAAATACACAAGTGATACTTGAACACTGCTCACAACTCAAAGGACAGTGAGAGCAAATAAAAGATAACCATTTCCTGAAGGCAGAAAAATAAAAGATTACTGGCTTGTCCTTCAATTTCCTTATTAATTTTGTATATAATCAGCTATATTATACTGCCCTAGAGGTCAAGTGTCCACATTTCCTCTGCCTTTATAAGAAATCAGCATATTAGCAAAAAGCAATTTAAGAACTTCATTTTAAATATTAACCTTGAAAATCAGGCAGAAATCACCAACAACTCAGTTCTTGATTCAGTACCAACTATTTTTGCATCAGTGGATCCTCTATTACCATCATAACTGATATTCACAACGGTCATGAAGAAAAAGTTAAATTCAGAATAAAACAGCCAAAAGTAAGAATTCTGTACATTTTATTCACATTTTCAGTTGTAACCTCTAAACAGTTTTTTGTTGTTGACACACAATGTTATATTAGTTTTATGTGTACAAAATAGTGATTTGACAACTCTATACCACTCTGTACGTTATGCTCTGCTCACAAGTGTAGCTACCCTCTGTCACCATACAGCGCTATTACAATATCACTGACTATATTCTCTATGCTGTGACTTTTATTCTCATGACTTGTTCATACTTGGAAACCAGAACCTTAAAAGGTTAAATCATCTGGTATCCAGAAATCTAGCATGTATCCTTATCAAAGCAGAAAAGCTGACACTTCACTATATATTACTTTACATTCACTACGTTTTACGACTATATGATTTTTACAATTTTTATTCATATGATTTTTAGTACACTCACATTTACTGGAATGATACTCTGAAAGCTGTTTCCCTTCATGATCAGTCCAAGGAGAGGGTACAATGACATCTTTTGTGAAAAACTAGAAAAATTAAAGTCATACAATTAGGCATAATTTCCCCCCAAATACAAACAATTACCCATGTTATTTTCAAAAAATCATTAAACATGTTACACAGACTTTATAGTAACATTTAAAAATTTTAATACTTAAAAGCACAAATGACCAAAAGTAAAATAGAAGAAATATAAAATATAGATAAAGAGAAATGTTAATACTTCAACCATTGAAACTTAAAACTTGCAAATTAATCTAAGGGCATTGAACATAGAGAAATATTTTCAATTCCTCCCAATTTTGGGAGGGTGGTGCAGATAACAAAAGGGAGGATGAAGAGGAAAGCAATAAATGGAAATAGATGTATACAAGCAGGTATGAATGGTGTGCTGGAAAGGGCTTATCCTGGCTCTCAAGATCTAATTATTAAATTTTCAGGAATTTTATGCATCACTTGTTAAAGTCAATGCTAAAAACTTGTAAACTTACAATATATAAAACAAAAAGGTAACAAACACCCTAACTCATTATTCGCTAATTACTAAACACTTCCCAATATCCATGCTCTTGAGATTCATAATGGCTTTTGCATCAGCATGGTAGGACTCCCACATACACTGTGGGCTGTGGCACTTCCTTTACCATTGGGTAACATCCCAGCACTCACTTGAAACTGGCCATGGCTGGGTATTTACATTAGAGATAGCAGCAATCGCTAGAAATCATACTCCTCCTGCAAACAGAGGGCTAGCTGTTAAACCAGTACACCCAGTATACTCAAATGGAGATAAGAGCATTTGGATACAGGTCTTTCCTTTTTTCATTCCAGATATAAAATAAAGTCTAACACAGTATTTTTCCATTCCCTCTCTCTGTTTTGGAAGGAACTCAAAACATTTTCTTTTCTTCCCCTTCCTTCCTTCCTTCCTTTTTTTTTTTTTGGAAATGTGGGGCTTGAACACACAATTCCAAGATCAAGAGTCATCTGTTCTAAGGATTGAACCAGCCAGGCATCCCCAAAACATTTTCTTTATATTTCGCTATACATATGGTAAAGAACAATTTCCTTGACACAAGGAAAGATGTAAAAGAAAAAGGGGGGAGGGGGCAGAGATTATAAGTACAATTTCCGGAAAAAAATATAAAGGACCCACCAACTAACAAAGCAATATATTTAGTTCACTCAAAATGAGAAACATATAAATCCAAATTAACAAGATGAAAATTTTAAAGTGATAAGAATACAAATTAAGAAGCTGAATAATAACCAGTACTGCAGGCATGAGAAAACAGCAAGTATCAGAACACAGCCAGGAGTAAAAACTGCTATAACCTTTTGGGAGGGCAGTATGGCAAAATTTACCAAAACTGAGAACACAAAGCCTCTGACTTAGCAAGTATGTTGCCATTACACAAAGATATATGTACAAGTGTGTTCACTGAAGCATTATTTGTGATAGCAAAACACCAAACACAACCTATATATCTATCAGTAGGGGCTGAGTTAGGTTATGACACATTCATTCAAAGGAATACTATGCTGTTACTAAAAATCAGTATGTGTTAATAATAATAAAAAAAAACTATGAAACATTATTAAGCAAAAAAGTGAGATGCAAAACAATATGAGAATGATGATCCTATTTGTTAAAGGTCATTTACTGTTATATACATAAAATTAATCTGAAAGTATAAATGTCACATAGTTACTTTTTTTTTCACAGTTACTTTTAAGAAGAGGGGAAACAAGTTCTTCATTTTCATTTTGTAATTTTTCTTTGAAGTCTAAATTTTGTTTTCTTTTGACTATGCACATATTTATTCTTTCAAAAATTTATATATTTGAAAATATTTGTTTCTGATCATTAACTTGTTTCTGATACACTGACCCTAATTTTCCCTCTGACTTCATTTTCTTAAATTTTCTGCTGAATTTCCCTTCAAAGTTGAGGATTCTAAAGGGAAGGCATATTTTCTACAATGTTGGGAAATGCGATCCAGTCTGAGAATATTCAACTGTGGTGGAAACAAGTGATTAGATCAGAATGAAAATTCTGAAGTTACTACATAAAGAAGTTTGGGAGAAGTAAAGCACATGCAATGGTTTTTGAAGAAATATGCTATATCTGAAACACAAGCCAACACTAGAAAATACACTAGAAAAATAAGTGCAGGAGGGGCCAGAGCATCATTTAATCTCTACATAGTCCATAGTGGAAGTCTTCTGGGATGTAGAAGAGCCAAATATAGCTAAGGAATAGAGATGGGTAGAGGGGGCTAGCAAGGGAAAAAGGAAAAACAGATGTTGCCATGACATAAAGATTTTCTGGGCAATAATTAGATAGATAAGCCTGGCTTGCACTCTAAGAGGAGATTATCGAAGGAGCAAAAAGTGAAAAACTTAGTTTATTATTTTTATTTAAAAATAAAAACACCCTACATTTCAAATAAACTTTTTAATATGTTTTAGTAAGGTATTTTATTTCATGAAATATATTCTATGTCTTAAAAATTCAAAGCATTAACAACAACAAGAGATAAAATTGCTAATGCCAATCTCGATTTTCAAGGTCTGAAAAGATTCAACTTTCTCTACATATAAACTCCAAGATGAAACAGAAGTTTGTGCTCATCTGTATGCTGAAGGCACAAGGAAGAGACAAACTGGCTAGACCCTGAGAATGAAAAGATAAATAAAGCATAACACTGGCCAAAAAAAAGAATGTAGTCTAGGGGAAAGAAGCACTAAACCAAATTATTACAGTGTCACAAGAGCACTATGACAGGCGCTGGCAGAGCTGAACAACATCGGTTTTATGGGAGCACAGAAGGGCACCAGAGACAGCTGGGGACAGGCCAGGCTGGTGGCGATCCAGAAGAGTAAAGGATTTGAAGGAAGTCTTCCTAAAAGAGGTGACGTGCACGCAGAATTGATGCTTAACTGGCTTTATGATCAGTAACAGATTTAAGTTACCTCTTCAATGGCTTTTTGTCTTTTGTCTTCCACATCTTTATCTATTCTATACAGAGATAAAGAAGAAACATAACCATGCCATTACTTCAGCTGATTGAACATTTAAAATAATAAGCTTTCAAAGAAATAATTTCCTTCTGTTGAAAACTGGCAAATGTTAGTCTTATTTTAAGAGCAAAACTGGTATCTTATCACATTCAGTAAATGACAGTGTTTAGGTATTTGGCACTGTGCTGTTAGGCTTACCTCCCTCTTTTCCATTCAGTTTGAATGGAATAGTATTTTCTGTTAAAGCGCTTACATTGATAAAAATTTTAAATTACTATTAACAACATAAAGTAATTTGAATAAACTTTGTCCTTTAACCATCGTAAATTAAGAAGTATTTCTTCCACAGAAATCTAAAAATTGTCCAGATTCTCTTTCTTCAGTTATAGCAAGCTTATCATAGCTATAATTTTAGAATCAACTCTTACTCTGAAATAGAAGAAAAGAAACTATCACCCTTACAGTTCTGAATAAAGAAGAAAAAATATTAATTGTGAAATAATGACAATATAGAATTCTGTCCAAGTGAATTTTTTCCCACTTTGATACAATATGCAATTACAACAACACAAACTTATCAGCTACAAGATTTAACATAAAATATTGGGTCTCGAGCACAAGGCATAGATTTGCCAAGGACTAAGCAGCTAGCCTTGGAGGACCACTTCAATCTATCCCAAGGAAGATTATTTGCTTTCTGTTAATAAATTGGTAAAATACTTCTTCTTCTTCTCACAATTCAAATGATTGTCTCTCAAAATGTTTCACATATGTATTTGTGGCTTTAACAAACCTTATGTAAGAATGTATGTTTCACAAATTAAAATCAAATGAATTATTCAAGTAAGGGAATGAAGAGAAAATATGCTACAATAATAATCCATATATCTCAGCTTGAACAACAGCCATTCTGGGGACAAATAACTCAGTTGTATCTCATGCACATAAGCCAGCTCAAAATAACAGTGCATAATAATAATAGCATATAATATTTAGTAAGCTCTGATTTAGTATCACCTCATTCAGAAACATTTTCTGCTTCATCAGAGGGACTTTAAGAACCTGAAATATTCAGGCAATTGCTAGCAGCACTGAAAATCAGTGTAGACAAATATTATAGAACCTGATCATGGAGGGTTCTCAGAAGTCAAGGAGGACAGAGTACCCCGATCATTACATCAAAGAACACTAGCATGACCCATACCCGTTACAGGAATACCCTGAATGGATCCTGAGTAGGGGACGGCCTTTTCAGGATCGCTCACCTTCCGTATGGACAGACTCATTTGTTTACATCCATCTGCCTTACAGTTATCATTTTTTTATGTGGAGCAGTAATAAAGAGTGGGAAGCACTGAAATTGGAAACTCGGATTAGATAGGAAGAGACACTAGAAGTCACTGCTTGTTTCTAAGAATGAATCAGAATGTTTTGTTGAGAATGTACTCATTATCCATCGGGGAAGCCGTAATCATTTACTGAATTACATTAGTTAATTAAAATTAGGGTCTTTCTCACTCTTTTCTCCTCTTTTGTATTACAAATCTACCTACTGAAATACACCAATCACCCATTATTTTGGACTGACAACACATGTACCTTGGGACTAAAAATTAAAAGCTGGTCACACCAGTGTTCAATTATTTCAAATATTTAAAACATCAGACTATACAACTGACATCAACAAGAATCCCCCAAATTATTAACAAACACTGTTACTTATAATTACAGATTACAGTAATATGTAATCAAAAGCTAGGTCTGTTCCACTGAAGAAGTGCAAGTTCTCCCTACATTGGACATCATCAAGCAGACTGCCACCAGTCTGAGGCACCCCAGTGCTTGGAAATCTACGTAACACATCAAAAAGTTAAGGCTGCTCTGATTAATAGATTAACTTCAATACAATGTAGTTTAGATTTCCTAAGGCTGTTATATCAAAGCTGGGTGATATCTAGAAAAGCTCTCTCTGTTGCTAATGAATACCCTTTCATTCAATGTGCTTTTGAGATTTTAGGCTTCCCCAAACATAGATGGCAATGAAAGAGCATTTTGCTTTACCCCATACCACCAAAAAATAAAAATAAAAAAATTCAGTGGGAGAAGCCACAATCATGTAGAAAGGTACAAATTTCAAAATATTCTTCCCTCTACCAAGTACTGGAAAGCACAGCTATCCCATAATCCCATTAGTAGCAGAGAAAAGTTAACTCTTCCCAAAAAAAAAAAAAAAAAAAAAAAAAAAAAGATTCCTACTAAGGTTTAGAACTGTTTGCAAGGGAATCTCTTTCTGGATATAGTTCTTTGAACTCACTCTTCATTTAGATACAATAAATCTGTCTCAGAATTTTTCCTCCCTGATATCTTTACATATAAATATATCCAAACTTTGGAATTTCCCAACTCTCTTCACTTAAGAATATCTTATTATACTTAGATACAAAAAAGGAAAACTTACCGAGAATGACTTAAGTATAAAGCTTGACGATGAATGTCTTCTGGGTCTATTTCTACAGGATTTATTACAGCTAGTTGATCAATAGACCATCTAAATTTCCCTGGAGTCTTAACAAAAGAAAGTGAACCTATGAGTAAAAGCAAACTAAAATAGTTCATCAAAATGCTAACCAATGTCAGCTTTGGAAATAATGTGACTGGTTATAATGCAAAAGTATTTCAAACCTTGCATTTTAAAATTTGTCTTTACTTTGGATATTTTGGATATTTTAAAATACAGTCCAGTAAGTTGATTTAGTGTGATTTGATTACCGTTATGGTAAATGGTAATCAAATCACACTAAATCAACTTACTGGACTGTATTTTAAAATATCCAAATCTTCCATCTGGGTGATTTTTTTTTTTTAAACCATTTTTTTTTAAGATTTTATTTATTTGTCAGAGTGAGAGAGAGAGAGAGAGAGAGAGCGCAAGTGCAGGTGCACAATCAGGGAGTAGCAGGCAAAGGGAGAAGGAGGCTCCCTGCTGAGCAAGAAGCCCAATGTGGGACTTGATCTGAGCCAAAGGCAGATGTTTAACCAACTGAGCCACCCAGGCGTCCCATCTGGGTAATTTTTACAATCATGTAATAATGGGAAAAAAATCACAGGAGAGTATAAAGATATAGAAATTCCTCATCAGTTAATGAGAAATTGCTCATCCGGGATGCAACATACCAAAGTAAAGGTAAAAATCTCTTATTAGAGTTATCAAAGTTCTTTACTCTCACTAAGAATGAACTGAACTGAAGTCTTAAAAACAGAAGTGCCTACAAAAGCTCATAAAACAGTTGATCCTTAAAATAATTATGAAAATGGTAATCACAGCTGCTTTTCTGCATTCAACTATCCAACTGAACCAAAAATTTACCCAAATCCTAATCTGTAATTCCGAATGCATTTTTAATAAAATCAGGCTTAAAAATCCAACATTCCACACATTCTGGCTTTGAGGATTATGTTACAGCTAATATATTTATTCTAGATTACCAGATAACTAAAATTTAATAGAGTTCAATCAAAAATCATGAGGTCAGATTTATGACAATATTAAGTACGTAACTGTAAAACTCTACTTGCTCTTAGTTTTAACAGATACGAAAGCATAGCATAAACAGCAATGTACTTGGCAGTTTTTCTAGGTAATTTACTAGGTTAAAAGATCATACTTCAAAAGAACTCCAATGCAGCAAATAACAATAAAAATAAGCTAAAGCTATAAAGTCTTCCCTAATCTCCAAAAGAGCACTTTCCTTTCCATATCACCCTTGATTACCTTAACCACTAATACCACATACATTGTTTTGAAGTTGCTAGATTAGTTATGTCTTTTCCTTTAGAGTATATGTTGGCTTCTTTTTATACAACTGCAAGCTAGAGCTGGGGGAAATCGGAGGGGGAGACAAACCATGAGAGACTCTGGACTCTAAGAAACGAACTGAGGGTTTTGGAGGAGAAGGGGTTGGGGGTTGGGTGAGCTGTAGTGGGTATAGCAGAGGGTACGTATTGCATGGAGCACTGGGTGTGGTGCATAAACAATGAATTTTGGAACACTGAAAAAAAAATAAAGTTTAAATAAAAAGAAAAATTAAAAAATTATTATTTTATGACATGTGAAAATTATACAGCCATGTTTCATGCTTTTCCTATTGCCTATGGCTGCTTTTGTGATACAAGGCAGAGGTGACTAGTTGTAACAGCAACAAGATGACCTGCAAAGCCTGAAATATTTACTGTCTGGCACTTAACAGAAAAAGCTTGCTGATTCCTGCATTAGAATACAAGCTCCTTGAGAGTTTGTGTCTAATGACCCTCACTTATCTAACACAACAGCATTCAAATAGATTTGCTGAATAAATGAGAATAGATAATTAGATGACACAGCTTCTCCTCAAATATAGTATTAGTAAACATATCACCAATCGTAGTATCTAGCTACACCCAGTTTCAGGATGTCAACACATTATCCACTGAAAGAAAAAAAAAGAAAAATTCTAACTCAAAAAAAAAAAAAAAAAATCTACCTAACTTATATTTAGCCCAATCTCTACACTATAGTGAACATTACAGCTAAAAGAGCACATTTCAAACATATGTGCTTCAGGATAAGTTTCTCCCTTAACTTCTGAAGAAAGACGTTTACATTTAAAATAATTTGTATATACTAGTCAAGAATAACTTACTGGTAATTTCGTTGATTTAAAAACAGAAGGACTGGAGAGAGTTTGTTCATGGAGATTAGAATAATCACCAGGGCTTTCAAAAGGATTCAAAACTGGGATCCTTCCTGGAGTTTCCGGTGTTATCTGCATCCTTGATTCTTTGACATCTCCCATAGCAGAGAGAGAAAACTAAAAAGAAATAATTATGAACAATAAAACCACAAAGTTCCACATTGGTTTTGACAACTAAAATGTATTCAACAAACATACTTCGGAAAAAATAAATAAATAAATAAAATCCTCAAAATCTAACGCTTTGGGGGTCTTATTTATTTTTTATTTTTTTACAGTTCACAAAGAGGCATCACATACATTTTCTAAAGTGATCCTTGAAATAATCTTAAAAGCTAGAGACGTACGCTATTTGTGATATCATTTTGCAGAAGACTTAGGCTCAGAAAGTTAAGTGGCACACAGGCAGCAGTCAACCACATATGAATAAGCTCAGGTCTGCTTTCGAGGCAACTAAAGGAGCAGGCACAAAACTCTTCAACTAGAAGACTTCTACCTATAGTTTCTTTATTCATTACTGCAAGTCTCTAAAGACTTTGAACATCCTTCGGATATCCCAACAATTACCTATTAAACTACAGTTGCTAAACAACAATGACTTGTAGCAAGCAAATACGTGACGAGGAAGCTTGTGCACGCGTGTGTGTCTTCCACTTCAGCCCCGCTCAAAGAAGTGTGACTGATTAGACCTAGGAAATTAACCGCCTCCTTTGGTTGCCTCTCCTCAAACATCCTCTTTTCCGCTAAAAAGCCCAGGGTAGCAAGCGAGACTGCATTACTTTCAGTCAAAGGCGGACAAGACTAGGGAGAAAGAATCTACTTCTTGGAAGGCTGAAGCAGCTGGCTTCCTTGGGAGAAGAGAAGAGGTGGACACTCATGCCAGTGTCACTCCCAACCCCACACGATCACTGCTTGGCGTCCCCCACCCCATCCCCTTCCGCACCTATTCCCTCGCTGCTCCCATTCACCCCGGGGACAGCGGGCAGGTGGGTCAGGAGAAAGGAAAAGTGAGCTCTCCGGTTCAAAACAGGAGGAAAGGCCAGAAACGACAAAGAACGTACCTAGTGGTGTGTAAAAAAAGGAAGCCCCCCAAATAGGCGACTCCTGGGCGCTCCCGAGGGGCCAGTCCAGCTCCCACGACAGGCATAGACTCTTTAACTCCCGGCTTCCGCGCTGTCTAAGGCCAACCAGGGCACGGGCCCTGAGGGGAACTGGCCAATCGCGTCGAACCGCTGTCCGCGAACCAACCAATGGCATCGAGGCCGCGTAGTAAGTTCGAATGGCAACTCCTCGCTTCGCATTCCGCGTAGAGTAACGAGGCTCCAAATTTAAATCAACGCAGCCTCACGCTGGCGACGAGCGCGAGGGGCGGAGCCTGCCCGGCGTGAGCGGGGGACGCGTGGTGTGATTGCCCAGGAGAAAGGAAGGCGCTCCAGTTCCGGGTCAGGCCCTTCTCCCGCCTCCCTCGGCCTCCGCCATGGCGAGTAGCAGCGGTGCTGGGGCGGCAGCGGCAGCGGCGTCGAATCTGAACGCGGTAAGGGAGACCATGGACGGTAAGTGCCCGTTTCTCCCCCTTTACCTTGTCTCCGTGTCCCGCAGCCAGGGCGCCCAGGCGGCGGTAAGCCAAGAAAGACTTGAGGTACACTTCCTGCCCCAAGGGGCATCTTTGGGGGTCCTCCCAAGGGACCCGTCAGGACCGTAGTGCTGAGGATCCCATCCTTTGAGAGTTGTCTCTTCGCTCTTGCGTAGTTCGTCGCGCGCACGACGTTCCAGCCCCCACGTCAGCCGGGCGCGCGCTTCGTGCCTCCCGCGCGGAACTCGCGCGTCCCCGGCTCCCCGCGCGCCACGCCCCTCGGCCGCGGCGGAGGACGCGCGTGCTTTCCTGGGGACTCGGCTTCTGGTGCCGCGCCGCGCGGGGTGCGGAGAGCGCTCCTTTTCTCCCTGTCCCGAGCGGGAACCATCCTTAAGACTGTAAGCCTCGTGCGGACCGTAGCCTCGTGTGTTTGGTCGCCGCTGTGTCCTTTGTCTCTGGCCCTAAAGTAGGCTCTTCTTAAATAAGGGGCGAGTGAGCAGGTCGCCCCGTCTGCGGAATTGCTCCATTTCGTCTTGGAGCCGGTGACGCCGGTGTCCGAGGCTGTAGGTGTATTTACTTGTGTTCGCGCTCCAAGGGTCGCAGGTGTCAAGCCTGCGCACACGTGCTAGAAGATGAAGTGTCTTGGAGTTACCCTCTCTCTACTCTCTGACGCTGGTTCCGCCACTTTCTACTCCTGGGGGTGAGTTTAGACAAGCTACTACGACTACTCCACTGAGCCTGTGTCTTTCTTTCCTATAAAATGAGGTCACTTCCTCCTAAGGTTCTTGTGGATATTAAATATCCACAGACCAGGTAAAGGCATATCGAAGGTAATGAATCAAAAGATAGTTATTATTACCTTTGTGTTATATTACATGTACGTCTCACTTGCAGACTCCTTTGTCTCCATATTATTCACATCCACTTATATGTGTTTGATGGGTGTTAAATATTGCCTTTTTTTTTTTTTTTTTTTTTTTTTTGCATTTTCCAGGGGATATTGACATTAGTCTCCGTCTCTATTGAAACGTAACTGCAATTCTCACTCGGTAGTGTGGGCCTCCCCGCTCTGTCTCCCGGTCTGTTTCACTGTAGGCTCCACTTACTGATTCAGCCACTCCTTATGGGCTTTAGGCTTTTTCTGCAAGGGTTGGTGCTTTCTTTTTCAAGACCTACTTATATTATTGGAACATTTGCATCTCATTTTTGACATACCAAGTATCTATTTTGCTCTTTCTCCAAAAGTAGAATTTAATTGTTTATTTTATTCATTAGTTTTAGAAGGGCTGAGGAGCAGAGGGAGAGTGACAAGTGGACTCTGCCCTTGGGGGGCGGAGCTCCATCCCACCTCCCTGGGATACCACCTGAGAGGAAATCAGGAGTTCGACGCTCAACCGACTGAACCACCAAGGCGCCCCAGATTTTATTCTTAACACCATATTAAGCCTGTTTCTCATTCCTTCTTGATGTACCACATTATACGTTTCCCCAGTATCTGAAAGCAGAGCATTCCCATGAAATCTTTATCCTAAAGCCAAAATGGTGTATAGTGAAGCAGTTAGTATTGATTTATATGGAAAAATTTTTGAGTGTTCTCAGACCGAAAAAATAACTTTTCTTAGGTTTTTCTGATACCTTAGACATATCTTGTTAACAGATGCACAAAATTAATACAGATAAAGCACAGATGCTCCCAGACACAGTTCAAAGCTCTGGCAGCTTGATGGTGAGATGTTCAGTGTAGTTCCTGGGGAAGGAGCTTGGCAGTGACACTCTAAGTGCTACGGTCATGCCCTGTAATGGCTCACTACAAACAAACACTGAACGCTATTTTCATTTTTGCCTTTTTTCATAAAAGTGAAAACTCGGATTGCTTTTGGAGCGAAAATAGCTACTAATATAAATCTTCTGTAAAAGAGTGTTGTAAGACAAACTTTCGAAAAGTGGGTGATGGTTGTATTGACTTACACCTTTGCTTGGAAGTCAGTGTTTGTTTGTTTTAAACGATTGGAGAGTATGAGGCCTCGCTTCTGTCAGGTTATGTTAGCTATGCTTAGGTTCCTTATTATATGGCCATAGGATCCCATTTGGATGGAAACTCCCATTTTATCTCTGGTGGAGATATAGTACAACTATTGTTGTACAAATGAGAACTGATTGTATTGGTTGGATCAGGATTTTTACTGAGAGAAGTATGTGTAAAATGAAGATTATTGAGTGCAAGAACATGACAAAGTGAAGAAATAACAGATTAAAAAAAAAATTCAACGAGAGGCTGTGTTTCTTAGAGAACACTGCTCCTCTATCACACAGTTCGCCGACAAACCTCAAGATAGGAAGGCCCCAGTGGGCAGTGAATCATCATTTGTTAAATGTGGCAGCTAGGGACTATCATGTCCATTAGAATTCTGAACTGATAGAAAAACCCTGCTGTCATGCCATAATTGGAGTCCAGGACAGTCATATAAAATGAGAAGTTGAATTACTCCAAAGTTAATGGATGTTCCATGTTGTCTATAATAATTGAGGCCCAAAGGTAAACACAGAAGCACACTGTAAATAATTGACCATACACTGAACTGGAAAAATTCTACATGTTGTCATTTTATTTTATTTTTGAAGATTTTATTTATTTATTAGCACATGCACAGCCATGCACTAGTGGGGTGGTGCTCAGAGGGAGAGGCAGACTCCCTGTTGGGAATGGATTCCCTTCTCTGGGGAACCCCAGAATCCTGAGATCATGATCTGAGCCTAAGTCAGATGCTTAACCGACTGAGCCACCCAGGTGTCCCCATGTTATCATTTTATAGTCCCAAGTTCCTCCACATTCATTCCCAGAAATAAAACTTTAGCGTGGCCAAGGGGCTAGACAGAACTACCCAAATAACATTATTATTTGAAATTTTGTCAATGCGGGGTTTCACTCTATTTAAATCTAGCCATGAGAGTCAAAAGTTTGAGTCTGACTATGCATTTTCAAGATCTAGTATATTCTCATCTTCCTTACTACTTCTCTCCCATCAGTACTAGAGTCGGCTAACAGTAATTTAATCTTTTTGGTTTTAAAAGATTTTTATTTATTTCAGAGGAAGAGAAAGAGTGAGTGAGCACAAGCGTAAGTGGGGTGAATGGCAGAGGGAGAAGCAGACAGACCGCTGAGCTGGGAACTCGATGCAGGGCTCCATCCCAGTCATGACCAAAGCTAAAGGCAGATGCTTAACTGACTGAGCCACCCAGGTGCCCCAGTAATTTAATCTTTTAATGGATATGAGTGATTTCAGGGTTGTAGAACTCAGCTATAAACACTTATATTTTTGTTGTGAAATGAAAGCATTTTGATATGATATTTCAAAAGTAGGTAGACTTTTTAATATATCTGTGTGGCTCAGTCTGAAAGGAACCTGACTGATCCTGGCCCTGATTTAGTATAAGCTCTTGTATCAATCCCCTACTCTCATTTTTCGATCCTCAACATTCTCTTCCAGATTCCTTCTTTAAAATGTTGGTCTTTTCTACTACCTCTCTCTCTGTTCTCCAGTGTACTCACTTGCCTCTTTTGTTTTTCAAGGTTTTGAAATTTTAGATACTATATTGATAGTTTCATACTTTGTTATTTTCGTATATTTTAAAATTTTCCTTATGCCTCCAATTACTACTAGTAATTATGTTCTTTATAATTGTAATAAAAATGAACCTCTTCCTTACCAGAGGGTTTCAGTGTAGTGCTACTTTATTGTATATCAGGTAGTAAACTAGAAGAAGGAGTTAAGAGAGTTCACAGCATGTAAGGTGGTGTTGGTGAAACAAATGTATGGTCCCTAGGCTGTCCGTCTAGTTACTCATGGGGGAAGAAAAACTAGGAATCTTTATTGCTTTCTTTTACCTCCCCTACCTTCTGTTTCTCACTAAGCCCTTTCAGTTCTTGCTTCCTCTCAGATTTGACCACTTGTCCTAATCTCTCCTGTCCATGCCGTCTACTCGTCTATCCCCAAGATGGCAGTAACTTAACTGGACTCCCTCTCCATGGGTTTTCTGTCTCTTTTCAAGATCCATACCCTATTATGTAGCCAGAGTCTTTTAAAAATGAAAATCTGATTGTCATACTCCCGTTTTTATGTTTGTTAATAGCTTCCCGAAGTTCTAAAATCTTTAGTAGAGCCCTAGTGGGTGTTTGTGTCTGTCTTTTCTCATATTTTACACTTATGCTGCTCCTGTAATTACATTGCCTTTACACGAAGAACCTTTTGGATCTATGAAAGATTCTTTACCAAGTTCTCTTTAGTCAGGGAACTTTTGCACAATCTGTTTTTTTCTCTCTCACTCTCTTAGCACTTCTTCCTACCTCTGCATTAGGTAGGTTGATTTCTTGTCACTCTTGAAGTGTAAACTTACTCGTCAATTCTTCACACAAGTCTTGCCTAAACACTATCTTTCACAACTATGTAAGACACCCTTCTAATTTGTTTTGGAGGTGTGCTTTTCTTATCCCTCTTTCCCATTTAACTAGGATCAGTTATTATTTAGTATCTCTCTCTCGTAGAATGTAATTCCATGAGGATTGGGACTGTATCTGTCTTTTCCACAACTATATTTCCAGCAGTAGTGTAGTAGGCACAGAATACACCTAAGGACCAATTATACAGTAGGCACTGCAGAAGTACTTATTATAGATGGCTTATGAAGTTAGGAGGCAAAGATCAACATACCTTTTACAAGAAAGCTTAAAGGAAAGAAATACTAGTCCTGAGATGGACCTGAAAGAGAGCGTGGAGTTACATGGAGAGAAGAGAAAAGGCACAGGAGAAAAGCATGAACTAAGGCATGAAGTCAGGAATAAGCAGAGCATTGATAGATGGGGTCTACCATGGGGAGAAAACCAGAGAGGAGAATTTTAGCAACAGATAATGGTGATGCTAATGATGGTGATAATGTTGGAGACTTGGAGTAGGGTCAGAGAGTACATGTTTTCGTACAAACCATCCCAGACTTACTGGCATAAAACAACAATTACTTGTCTCTCATGGTTCTGGGTTATCAGGGTAATTAGGCTTATCAGGGTAATTCTCATAGAGGGCCTCTAATGCATTGCAGTTAGTGCTGAAGCTTCCTCCCTCACAGTCTTCTAGTTGACATGCCTGCAGCAGGGGCTGTTGTCTGGAACATGTGGGTTTCTTCCCACTTGGTGGCTGGGTTGCAAGGGGGAGTGCCTCAAGGGAAGCTCTATCGCCTTTTTAAGTGTCAGAAGTCCTGCAGTGTCACTGCTGGGAGATGCAGCTTGAGCCCTGAGCACACCCCTGCGTTCTTGCTCAGCAGGCCAGGAAGGCAAGGCCCTGGCTGCTCTTTCTTCCTGCTCTTTCTCGGCGCTCTATTTACAGTGAACAACTCGAGGGATAAGGTAACAGCTACTTCCATATAAAGAGCAAGTTTGCTAACTGCTGACTTGAAAAGTAGGGATTTCCCAGGCTCACTGTTCTTCAGCTGTGAATACAGTCTGTAAGTGTAATGTGTTCTTTCACTCCTCAAAGGGAAAAAGCTACCTGGTTATTTCAGTGTTTGATGAAAAGGTATTCATAAGACTCAGTACTTTTTCTCTAATTTTAAAGTCTTAGCAAGAGACAATAGTACATTGTTAACACGCCAGAGGATAGCTATAGGAAATTACCATCATCCTTAACGTTAGTGTTAAAAGCATTCCAAATAAAATTAGAAATGCTTACGTTCACTGAATTTTTTTTTTCTAACCACTGGTATGAAAGTTTAAGCAAATAATGCAGGATAGGAAAAGAAAAAAAGACTGTTAGGAAGGGTATGAAACTATTTATTTATAGGTAAAATGATTATCTAATTAGAAAACGAGAATTAACTGAAAAACTTCAGTAGAATTTGTTAAGGTGGCTGGTTACAAAATAAAAATAAGTCATATTCTAGAACATTTACACTAATCACCTAGAATATACCAAAGCAAGGTAGAATGCATTTGTAAAGACAAAACTCAAAATTAAAGAAATTGGTGGTTCACTACCAAAATTGATGATGATGGAGCACTTGGCTAAAACCTTCTGCTCAAAGCATATAAAAATGACAGGAAATAATACAAAAATGCAGTTATTGTCACAGCCATGTTCAAAAACAAGAAAGGGAAATCTCCTGGTTAGAAGGAGAGAGGTTTTCCCCCAAAGAGGAGCAGATGGGAAATACAGCAGGAGACTGGGAATGGAACCTGACAAAGCACGTTGCCCTGCCTGAGTGAAGCTGGGGCCAGAAATGTGCCATCTGCCATGGCCAGGAATTGGGAAGTACCGTCCGCGTGTCTGTGGCTCTGGAGCCAGTGTGCTTCCATTAGGTCTGTGCCAGAGGCCTGAGACCAGTGTGAGTCTGCCCATCCAAGGATGCTTCACCCGTTCAGAACATCAAGAAAAATCTCCTGTTGAAGATGAGCTTCCAGGCAGAAATCACTAAGTACCTAAGGTAGATGAAAAACAAACAACTCGCATGAGAACTGAAAAAAGAGAATGTAGTAATAATAGCTCTTTCTTTGTGCACTAGATGCCAGTGGACGCAGCATTCTGAGTATGTCTTATAATCCTCACAATGATCCTGTAAAATAAGTACTATTACCTCTATTTCACAGTGTGATAAAATAAAGGTACAGAAAGGTTACCTTTTGAGACACCCGGGTGGCTCGGTTGGCTAAGTGTCTGCCTTCAGTTCGGGTCATGATCCCAAGGTCCTGGGATTGAATCTCAAATCGGGCTGCTTGCTTAGCCAGGAGTCTGCTTCTCCCTCTGCTGGCTGCTCTCTCTCTCTTTTCTTCCTAATAATTAATAAATAAAGCCTTAAAAAAAAAAAAAAGAAAGGTAGCCTTGCCTACCAAGTAATGAAGGTGAAATTTGAAGTCAGGTGCTGTAGAGAGCAGACCCTTACCACTCTTTTGGTGCTTGCTTAAACTTGAAGAAACAGAAAACACAAGTCTCAGAAATGGCCAAAGATAAGAATATAGCTTCAGTAGGTGAAGGCAGAAACAATAGCCACAAAATAAGTGGTTATAAAAAAGCATTTAACTGAAATAAGGACAAGCAATTAATGGGGGAGGATTAGAAATCTTAAAATAGAGTTATTGAAATAAATTCAGCAGATAACATGAACGACAGCCTGCATATAGCTGAAGAGCAGTATTGGTATGTCGGCATGTCAAAACTGAAGGAATGAAACAGAAAGGACTGTCAGCTTCCAGTCAAGATGGAGTAACAAAACTGGATTTACACTTCTACCTGGAAAAAACAAAAACAAAAACCCAGACAGAACAATGATTTTCAGGGCACTGGACATCAGATGGTAAAGGGCAGTGATCCCAGAGACAGTAAACGAAGAGAGCCCAATCGTTGCCTGCTCTTGGTACCTTCAGAAAGTTTCCAGGCCTCAGCGCAGTTGGGGAGTGGTGTGGACCCCCAAGGTTAGCAGAAGGAGTTCAGAATCCAGGGAGACCAAAGCAGGTAGAGTTTGTAGGACAGAATACCTGAGAGGAAAGAGCTTACAGAGAGAGAATTCTGGAGACCAGTAGGAGGGTCCCCTCAAATACTGAGCAGAGCATTTGATTAGCACATGTGTGTGAGGAAAGTACCTACAAAGCTAGGAAAGGCATCCGAAAGAATTAGAGGGAACAGTACACAGTGCTCACCAAAGGCTGAAAACTGCTTGTATCTACCAGCCAGAATGGAAGACTTCGTAATTCACGAGGCATTTAGTAGAGCACTCAGGAGAGTGTTGCCTCAGTGATGAGGAACAATTAGCTGTACGCTAAACAGAGCTCTGATCCTGACTATATAAATCTTAAGAGACTCAAAAGTATCAAACATAATGAAATAATGAGATAATTGCATCTCATTTACAAAGCCCAAGAATATGTGTGAAAATATTCTAAAAAAGAATGTGTATAGAAATATAAAAATAGCAACCAGCAAGGTAAAATTTACAATGTCAAGCATCTAATTAAAAATTATTAAGTATGCAAAGCTGGAAAATACAACCCATGATAGAAAAATCCAGTCAGCTGAAACAGACCTGAAACTGACACAGATATTAGAATTAGATGGACAAGGGCATTAAAACTGTACTCCCATGTATTCAAAAAGTTAAGTATAAGCACAGAAGACATTTAAGGAAAAAAAAACCTTGAGATTCTAGAGATGAAAATGAATGTCTGATATGAAGAGGTGAGAAGGACCCATCCCATAAACATCATGGGATGTTTTTTGTTTTTCTTGGATGTTAGTTTTTTGAAGGAGTTGGACTTAATGTATCCTTCAATATTGTTAACTTTCCCATTCATCCCAAAATAACATAGTTTTTATGCAATTCAAGTCAGAATCCAAATGGACTTTGTGCTTGGAATTGATTAAGATTTTTAGAGCGGGAAAGAGGCAAGGGGAGGGGCAGAGAGAGAGGGAGAAAGAGAATCTTAAGAAGGCTCCGCGCCCAGGGAGGAAATGCGGGGCTGGATCTCACAACACTGAGATCATAATGTAAACTGAAATCAAGAGTCTGATGCATAACCACCTGAGCCACCCAGGTGCCCCTTGATCAAGATCTTTTAAGTTCGCTGAAAGAATAAAAAAGCTTGTGAAAGGAAAGATAACAAAGAATGTTTAACCTTCTGTATGTTGATAAATGTTTGTAATTAAAATTATGGTTTTGACATAAGATAGAGATGCAACAGATCCATAGATAAATGGGAATTTACTATGTAATAAAAGTGGCATCTTAACCGAATAGTAGAAGGAGAGGTCACTCAATAAATAGTGTTGAGGAAATGGGCTTATTTCTGGGAGGTGAAGTTAGATCCTATCTTCTACCCAAACTCCAGGGAGTTAAATGTTTATAGGCAGGCAGGAAATAAACTTTGAAGTGATGGAAGGGAATACTGGTAGATAATTATATAATCTTTGCATGGAGAATAACTTTCTAAGTATAATGCCAAGGGAAAATATTACAGGAAGCCATAGATAACATGTTGACCATTGACTTTAACAAATTCTAAACATGCTCTGGGGACCAACCACCATAAAACAAAATTTAATGAAGCCGATGTATTTATATTCTGTGCTTCTCTTTGCTAGTGTTTCTTATGTCAATTATTTTTATAAACTATAGTAAAATGAAGTATTATAAAAAATGAAGTTAAAAAATAAGCTTTCATTTTTTACTATTAGATTTTAATGGACATGATTACTTTGTCAAATTGTAGAAGATTCTAAGTACTTTTAAAGGCTTAAATATGTATATTACTGAGCAGTTCCACTTTTAGGAATTTATCCTAATGAAATAAAATGAAGTTAGCATGTACAGATGCTTATCATAGGATTATTTCAGTGGGGAAAAATGAGACCCACTTAACTCTTAAAATAGTAGGATAGTTAAGTAATGTATGTGTTTTCATAAAACGGGATGTTATGAAACTAAATTACATTGTAAAAGCATACTAAAAATGGAGAAATGTTCAGAATAATCCTGATTATGATGCATATATTTAAGTAGTAAATGGTAGAATATAAATCAAAGTGTAAAAGAGCAGTTATGTGGAGGTAGGGTGTAAGTGTATTTCTGTATTACATGACAATTTCAAAATCTAGTGATGTGCTAGTTCTTTGGTACTATGCAGTATTATTTGAACTAAAACCAAAGTATTGTTGTATACATTTTTTTACTATAATTTTTTTTGAAGTTTCTTCTGTCTTTTTTAGTTCTGCTGGAAATTTCAAGAATTTTGAATACTGGCTTAGATATGGAAACTCTGTCTATTTGTGTACGGCTTTGTGAACAAGGAATTAATCCAGAAGCTTTATCGTCGGTTATTAAAGAACTTCGCAAGGCCACTGAAGCACTAAAGGTTAGAGTCTGTGTGTTCATTCTAAAGAAAGATTCTTTTGTTTAGAAGATGGTTAATGAGTTTATGTGAAAGATCCTACTTAAGTACTATTAAACTAGCTTTTGCCACCATCAGAAATTGTGAAAACAGAACTTAGTAGCAGATGTTCAGTTACAAAAATTGCTACTATCATGGACCACGTTTTCTCTTCACAGAAGTCTCCAGGTATGTTTAGAATTTTCCTTGTGAGTAAAATCCTGTCTGTGCCCAAAAAGATTTGTACAAGGCCAGTACCTGTGAATGTGACCTTATTTGGAAATTGTTTATCAGCAAGTATAATCAAGTTAAGATAAGATCATAATGGATAACGGATGTCCTTATATGACAAGGGAAATTCAGACAGATACACCAAGTGAGCACCATGTGGAGACCCAGACACAGACACAGCCTCGTGACAGTGGAGGCAGAGATTGCAGTAGTGGCCTAGGATTGTTGGCAGCCATCAGCAGCTACGAAGAGGCAAGAATCTTCTGCTAGAGCCTTCTGACTCCGTAATTTGGAACTTCTGGCCTTTAGAACTGCGAGAAAATAAATTTCTCTTGTTTTAAGTCACCCAGTTTATGGCAGTTGGTAATGGCAGCCCTAGAAAGCTAGTACAGGTTTCACTATTAGCAAGTGGGGTGCTGTTGTAACAAATATCTACAAGTCAGGAAGTGGCTTTGGAGTTAAGTGTTGGGTAGAAGTTGGAAAATTTTATATACTTAATAGAAAGGACCCAGATTTCCTTGAAGAAAGTGTTGGTAGAACTCTGGACATTAAAAGCAATTCTGGTAGAGGCTCAGAAAGGAGAGAAGAGCAGTAGGGAAAGCTTTAATTGTCTTATTGTCTTGTATATATATCATGATGAGCAGAATGTTGCTGGAAATAATGGACATTAAAGGGGCTTCGGGTGAGATCTCGTAAGGAACATATTATTGAACACTGGCAGGAAGGTTGTCCTTATTATGAAATGACAGCACCTGGCTGAATTATGTTTTACAAGTGGAAGAAAAATAAAACTTGTAAATGATGAACTTGGACATTAAGCTGAGGAAATTTCCTAGCAAAGTACGGAAAGTGTAAGAGCAAAATTTCTCCTTGCTACTTAAAATAAGATATAAGATGAATGAGAAATCAAGGAAGGAACTGGTAAGCGAAAAGGAACCAGCACTTGATTTGGAAAATTCTCAGCCTTACCCAGAGAGCATGCTCTAGAGAGAAAGCCCAGAGGTGTGGCTCTGGTGAGGAGATTGGATGTGTGATTTATAAATATAGTCAGCCGTCTTGAACTTGACTGAAAGGAACCCGGACAAAATAAAGGAAAGCTGGGATTCTGTACTTCTGGATTCTGCAGGAAGGAAACTGGCCATTAGGCCTACATGTCTGTGATCATGTGTTTCTCCTTCAAGAAAAGGGAATAATTGGGGTCCCTGATTGGCTCAGTGGGTTAAGCCTCTACCTTCGGCTCAGGTCATGATCTCAGGGTCCTGGGATCGAGCCCCACATCGGGCTCTCTGCTCAGCAGGGAGCCTGCTTCCCCCTCTCTCCGCCTGCCTCTCTGCCTACTTGTGATCTGTCTGTCAAATAAATAAAATCTTTAAAAAAAAAAAAAAAAGAAAGAAAAGGGAAGAATGACACATAGTAGCTCTGAGAGGAAGGGACTGCTGAGGCCAATTGGCTGCACTGCCACTGTGGGCCCAGAGGACCACCTTTTTTCAGATACAAACTCACCACTTTTTAGTTGCTCACATTGGAAACAAGAAAGATATATTCTCTCTCTTACTCTGCTTACATGATTTAAAATCTTGGGTGATTTTATTTCCATGTTTATATAACAGTAACTCACTACAGATACTGATTCAAGTTAGTCCCTCTGAAAACTTGTCCAAGGACAAAGTGACTTTTCTCCAGCTTTTTTTTTTCCTTTGAGAAAACAAAACTATATAATACATGTAGTTTACCCATCTCAAATTTAGTCAGTCTCTAGTAAATTCCAGTGATTTGGATTGTTTTTGAGAATTTTTAAACTTTATTTTTTTTAAAGATTTTTATTTGACAGAGACACAACAAGAGAGGGAACACAAGCAGGGGGAATGGGAGAGGGAAAAGCAGGCTTTCCACAGAGCAGGGAGCCCAATGTGGGGCTCGAACTCAGGACCCTGGGATCATGACCTGAGCTGAAGGCAGATGCTTAACAACTGAACCACCCAGGTGCCCCAAGATTTTTAAAACTTGAAACACAGAAAGGTAAACAGAAGACATTTACAGAGCAAAACTTTATCATAAAGAGAATATCTGTACAATTTTCATTGCTAGAGCCCTACAAGTTCCCTTGAGCTCCCCATCACTATATCACTAACCTCCCCTGCTCCCCCTTCCAGTAATTACTACCCTGATTTTCATGGTAGAAGCTTTCGTATTTTTAACAGTTTTACTGACTAAACATGGGTTTTTAAATGATGCAGTTGAATTTTGTAAAATTTTTGAATGTGGTATAAACCAGAATCTTTTTTTTTTTTTTTTAATTTTATTTTTTTAGTGTTCCAAGATTTGTTGCTTATGCACCACACCCAGTGCTCCGTGCAATACGTGCCCTCCTTAATACCCACCACTAGGCTCACCCAGCCCCCAACCTCCCCCGCCCTGGCCAAAACCCCACAGTTTGTTTCTCAGAGTCCATAGTCTCTCATGATTCATCTCCCCCTCTGATTTCCCCCAGTTCACTTTTTTTTTCCTTCTCCTAATGTCCTCCGTTATAAACCAGAATCTTACAGCCCTGTCTTTACTGGGTTCTTCATTTAACATTATGTTTGAGAGGGTATTTTTTTGTTCTTCGTTTTTTTGAGAATAGTTGACACATGAGTTTTACATTAGTTTCAAATGTACAACTTAGTTACGTGACAGGTTTATATATTTTTTTTATTTTTTATTTTTTAAAGATTTTACTTATTTATTTGACTGAGAGAGAGAGAGGGAACACAAGCAGGGGGAGTGGGAGAGGGAGAAGCAGGCTTCCCACCAAGCAGGAAGTCTGATGTGGGCCTTGATCCCAGGACCCTGGGATCATGACCTGAGCCGAAGGCAGCTGCTTAACAACTGAGCCACCCAGGCACCCTATATATTTTTTTTAAAGATTTTTTATTTATTTATTAGAGAGAGAGCCAGCGAGAGGAGGGGCAGAACAGGGAGCCTGACATAGGGCTGAATCCCAGGGCCCTGAGATCATGACCTGAGCCGAAGGCAGATAAGCTTAACTGACTGAGCTACCAGCTGCCCCAGCAGTTTTGCTGCCGGCTGCCCTGTAACATCACTATTAAAATATTACTGACTGTTCCTTATGCTGTGACTTTGATCCCTGTGACTTACTCATTCCGTAACTGGAACCCTCTCCCTCTCCCCTTCACCCATTTTGTCCATCCCCCTCCCTCCTCCCCTTTGTGGGCCATCAGTTTTTTCTGTTTTTATAGGTCTGATTCTGCTTTTTGTTTATTCTATTTTTTTTTTTTTTTTTTTTTAAGATTCCACTTCCGAGTAGAATCATGTAAGGTTCTTTCTTTTTTTTAAGACTTTATTTGAGAGAGCGTAAGAGTGCCTGCAAGTGCACACAGGAGCAGGGGGAGGGACAGAGAAAGGAGGAAGAGAGAGAATGTCAAGCAGATTCTGTGTGCGGAACCCAGGCACCCCGAGGTTTGTTTATGTTGTGTGTGGCTGTGATACAGTCCTTTTCACTGAAATAATGCTTCGTTGTACAAATATACTACTATTCAGTTATCCTTTCTTCTGTGAGTGGATATTCGATTGCTTCCAATGTGGGGCTGTTAGGACTATGGGCTATGAGCCTAGTTGTGCGTGTCTCATGATGCATCTGTGCGTGCGTTTCTGCTCAGTGGTGTGTATCTACAAATCAGGTTGCTTGGTTTTTAGGTAATCTTTGTCTTCAACTTGAATAGATAATGCCAAACTTTTCTAAAGTAGTTGTGTTTCTGTTTCCATGAGCAGCATGTGAGTTTCCCTTTCGTGCCCCAAATCTCACCAATACTTATTATTGTGTTTTTAATTTTAGTCATTTTGGTGGGTGTGTATGGGTTTCTTAGGTGGTTTTATTTGTATTTCTCCTAGTACCAATGAGGTTGAATGTGTTTTTACATGTTTTTTTGGCCATTTTCTCTTACGAGATACCTTTTCAAGTAGTTTTTCCATTTTTTTCTGGGTTGTCTGTTTTTTCTTTTGTATTGGTAGTCTTAAATATTCTGAATGTGAACCCTTTGTTAAATGTGCATATATAGGTTGCTAATTTCTTTTAGTCAGATTTTTAAATCTTTATAGGAGCTATTCAAACTTTGTTTCTTTTTAAACTCAACTGTGCTTTCATATGACAGAAAGAAAAATAGCTGAATACTATAAGAATAAATAATGTTTCTGAGTACTTTGAGTCACAGCAATGATAGTGTACTGCTACTGCTGTTAGTAGTTTACTGCTGAGGAAACTGAAGCTTGTGGTGGCCAGCTTCTCCCAAGGACTTATGGAGAAGTAGTTGAGCTGAGATTTGAACTTTGACTCTGGCTTGAGAGCTTTTAACTACTAAGTTTTTACCTACAATAAGTTCTAAAAAAATATCTAAGCCTGCTTTTTGAGAAAGGGTAAAATGTGATTAGAATAATGGACTGATGTATGGGAACACTCTCTGGTTTAGTATTCTCTCATAATCCTGCTATTCAAAATAAAATGCAACATCATAGTCTGATCAGTAAATTTCTGAAATGCTATTGGAAAATAATTTATTTAATAAACATCTCACACAACTGCTTGAATTTTTGTTGTTTATGTTGGAATTTGACAGAGGGGAGGGAGGCAAAAGAGCATGAAGTTTTCATATTACAGTGCATTTTCAGTGCCATACAGGAACCAGAGATACATAACCTAGCTGATGGGGTAAAAGAGAAACTGACAAGTGTTTTAGCATAGCACTTCCTTCGACAAAATAAACCCAAGGTTTTAGGATGGGAGATTCAGAATTTACCTACTTAACATAGCTTTTTTAGCTTTGAACATGCTAGTTATTCCATAGTGAGAATAGTGGACCATAGTGAGATACAGGAGGCAAAATCAATAATTAAGATAAACAAAATCAGAAAGCATTACCCGTTGAATGGAAGATTAGTCTCACAGACACACATAAACATATTTCTCCATAAACAACAGCCAGTATGCCAGTTTCTCATTAAAACTAGGTGGGGAGGAGAATTCTGAAAAGTGCCTAGCAAAGAAGAAAAATCTGTTAATTAGAACTTTTTTCTTTAAAGGAATTTTTGAAATCTGTTTATAATTTTTATTAAAAAATGCTCATAATTTTAAAGTATTTAAATACCAAAATATAAAGAAGGGAATAAATAATTCAGAACCACCCAAGAGATAGTCAGCAAGATTTGGTGAACACCATTCTGTCATGCTACTTTAAAAATAAAAAATAATACACTTAACTTCATGGATTAAGGAATAACCTTTCACATGTGCTTATTCTCTCTTACTTGCTACTGGTAGGTTGGGATTGGGAGCTGGTTAGCTCTGAGCTGCACTGTGAACCATACCTGGCTTTCCTTGGCCACCCTTTAGACTTTTAAAGCAAATGGTGGTTTTCTCCTTTTTGGGTATGCTGCTAATTAGTTTCTCACTTTATTTTTTGTCTGGTTCTTTCAGAACTAATAATAGAGTAAGGAAAAACTGTCCCTGTTGTGTTCTACTGCCTTTGCCTAGAAATCCTAGTGATTAGAATTTCCTTACATGGTACTTAACCTCTCTTTTAGAAAGTGTAAAATCGGCTCAGGTCATGATCCCAGAGTCCTGGGATTGAGCCCCGCATCGGGCTCTCTGCTCCTCGGGGAGCCTGCTTCCTCCTCTCTCTGCCTGCCTCTCTGCCTACTTGTGATCTCTGTCTGTCAAATAAATAAATAGAATGTGTAAAATATAAATCAAGGACATCCTGAAATAACTATGTAGAAAATTGCAACAGTTTTTCATTAATTGTTTTGTCTTCCTCACAGATTTGTATATTGATATTGTTAAATCATTTATACTAAAAGACACTGATTGTGTGTCACACGGGTCAGTTTCTTTGCATCAGTAGATGTGTCACATTGTATGTATCTCCCATAGCATAAGTAGGACTGTTAATTAAGGTACAGTTTTTAAAAATAGGCTATTTTTTTTTCAGTTTCCGTGTCTTTTAATGAATGCATTTACAGGTAAAATAGGCTTTATTTTTATGAATGATTCTATCAAACACTGAACTTTAGTATTGCCTCCTCAAGGCTAATATTTATGTATAGGCAATCATTTACATATTGTGGCTTCAGAAATTCTGGGCAAAACCTTCTTCATGTATCTTCTACTTTAGTACCAAGGTGCCTTGAAATGGACTATTATTGATGCACTTTACACTAATAAGCCTTGCCCTTTCCCTTGGAGCTGTCCTGTATGATCACTGATACCTAGGGGCAGTGATGCATCTCCTCGCTGTAGGAAGGTTTGAATGGCGTGAGGACACTGGAGCTGTAGAATTTGGAGTTGGGAGAGAAATAAGGGATCTAATAAGTCTTGTGTCCCTACCCATCCTCCCATAGGAGGGAATAAACTTACACAGGAAAGCAAAGTGTGGGAAGACTGCTAAAGTTGGTTTTTCCCAGGGCCAATGCTTACGAAATTTTGGAGTCTCTAATGGCAGCCTCGTAACTGGAGCTCTTTAGGAAGCCATTGCTGTCCTTTCAAACAGAGGAGTGCTATATTCCTATAAGAGGAATGCTATACAAGGTTGATGGCTTTCTTAGTTTAGGTGAAAATGCTTGTTTCATTGTCTGTTTCTTGGAGGAGAACCTCTAAAATTAGTATGAAAATGGAATGGGACCAAACAAATTAAATTGCATTAGAATTAAGGTATTTTAATTTTTAAAAAATTCTAAAATTGTTTATATTTTTTCAAGTCTTCTTTGAAGTAAGTGATACTGAGAATGGGGTTAGGAAGGAGACTTAAAGGTTTGCAGCTAAACCTAGTGTAAGAACCTTTAAGGGTAGAAAGAAATAAGAAGCCTTTGGAACGAGGGAGATTTTCTCCAAACTAGTTTCTTTCTTTTTTTTTTTTTTTAAAGATTTTATTTATTTATTTGACAGAGATCACAAGTAGGCAGAGAGGCAGGCAGAGAGAGAGGCGGAGGCAGGCTCCCCGCAGAGCAGAGAGCCTGATGCGCGGCTCGATCCCAGAACCCTGGGATCATGACCTGAGCTGAAGGCAGAGGCTTAACCCACTGAGCCACCCAGGTGCCCCTCCAAACTAGTTTCTAATCCTTGTAAATAATAAACCCAAAGAAGCGAAAGGCTAATTAGAATAGCCAACTCTATGGGCAAACAAGGTAGGTTCTGCTGATAGCAAAGAGAATGTTTCAGATTGAGTTAACTACAATTTTCCCAGCATGTTAAGGGATTTTCATGAAAGGACTCTGAACTTAGGCTAAACTTAAAAGCAAGTTTTAATTAAGAGGTCGAAATGTAAATGAATTAAAAGTTTACTGTGTATCTCTAAAATTAAACTTATCTAAAACCATCATATTCATATTTGGCATTAGGAAATTACTTGTTTAAATCCTTATCTTTTAGAAATATGTATCAAGGGGCACCTGGGTAGGCTCAGTCAGTTGAGCATCTGACTCTTGATTTCAGCTCAGGCCATGATCTCAGTGTTGTGAGATCGAGCCTCCACTGGGCTCCTTACCAGGCTAACTAAGCCACGCAGGGAGTCTGCTTCTCTCCCTCTGCCCCTCCCTGAGTGCATGTGTCTGCAGTCACTCTCTTCTCTCTAAAATAAATAAATAAATCCTTTAAAAGGGAAAAGAAATGTCTCAAATCATTTACCGATGACTTACATGGTGTCTGAAAATTTCTGCAGAATAATCAGAGAAAGTATAATAGTTCGTGGTATAGGTGAAGCAGGGTTAGCCCTGTGCCCATTATTCCCTTTTGCCCTTTTTTTCCTCTACTTTCTAACAGTTTTTTTTCATTCTTAATCCCTTTTCACGCTATAATGAAACATGCAGAAACAGACAAACCAATAAAGACTGGATAAGGTGGATACAGTGTGTAGAGAAGGTCTGCTTGGGTCAGTTTTTCAGGTAGCAGTGTATTTTTCCATTAATTATATTATTTAATACAATGCAACAATTTCCCACTGTTACCCTAGCAGTCAGTTCAAGAGGTAGTTCTGATGTACTGCAAAAAGTGAAAACCTCACTGCATTATCCTCCTAAAAGTGGTTCGGGATATGTGGAGGAGGCATTGTTTGTTAATGACAGTGCGGTATTGACAAATATATCTCCATGGTGTCTCTTTTTTCGTGGTTTTATTATAATGAAAGTTACTTTCTTGTTCTAGGCTGCTGAAAATATGACAAGCTGACTTTCTGGAGAAATCCTGATGAGATACGTCAAACTCTTCAAGAGAATTTGAAGATTGCATTGTAGTCAGGAATGTACAATGAAATTACTGCATGCAGCATTGTAGAAACATTTTCCTTTTTAAAAGAATTATAAAACCATAGCTTTATAAATCAGTGGAAAATGGCTTACAGAGATAACTATCAGATGTGTTTATATCACATCCTACTTTTTTTTAACAGCTCTAATGCGTTGGCATCGCTGTGTTCATATTTATGTATTCCTTATTTATAGCTCTGATAGCTTTAATTTTTTAAGCAGTCTGTCTATCAGATGTGCACATCTGCTGTGCCTGGTTAAAGTATAGTGGAACCCATCAGAAGTAATGTAGTAGTTATGACTTGTTGACATTTCCATTATAAAATTTAATTTTGAATTGTTTATGCAAAATAACTGTGGATTTGTGTTGTATTGGGCTAAAAGTTGATAGAATTTCAGCCACCATTTGTGAAATTTGATTTAGATTTATAGCGTATATCAGAATCTTTTTTATAAGAGCACAGAAATCATTTGTTTTAACCTGTTCTTCTTAAAGAATATTTAGTTTTTTAAACATGAAAGTTTTCCTGTCACTTAACAATAAGAACCAGATCATTTTTTGTATTGACTGAAAAATAGAAACTTAGATTTTAAAAGTAATGATAGTGCTCATTATTGTCCTTTGAACCATTTAAATTTAATGAAAATATTAATTGATAATATTTTTCTTTCTAAGTTCTATACTCTATAAATGATAGCCTAAAAAATAATGCATAATGAAATATTTCCACTATGCAAAATTCTTTAATTTTATTACATAAACATAGTTTGAGTAGTTACCTAATATATCTTGAGTGGTTATCTAATCACTAAATAGGAAGTATCTGTCAACAAATAATAATATTTTCTGAAGGAATAAAGAGTCTGTTCATTAAACAAAAACTAAATAATCAAGTGTTGTGGATCAGGAATTATAAGTATTCCTTTCCAAGGTCACTTTTTGTGTCATTATTTTTTCCCTGAAAGTTTTAGCTAATCAAAGTGATGGTTCAAAATGAATTTTGAGGGGGTATAGCTCAGGGGAGAGCATTTGACTGCAAAATGAATTTTGGAAAATGAAGGATAGTGTTACTTCTGTTCTATAGCAAAATCTCGATAGAATATTTTATCCAAGAGTGATAGGATTTTAATCTGGTTTTATTTTAGATTTTGTTAGCTTCCATTTAAATGATAGTACAAGTGTTTACTCTTAGCAGCATTTTTGTACTTTAGACAAAGTAAGGCTTAGTATTTGTAATTAAGTTACAGCCTTCTGTTGTAAAATCTAGTCGTGATTATTTAGACTTTGTAAGCACCTAGCATCTTTACCAAGGACCCTGGAAGGTGTATTATTGGCAGACTCAGTTGGGAGACAGTAATGACTTGTGGTAAGTCATTTATTTGGTAGTAAACACTGTAAGTTCTGTATGTTGTTACCCAGGAAATCATAAAGAGAACATTTTTGTCAAGCTCCAAAATTGGTATATACTCTTAGGCCACAGAGTTAATAGTTTTATTTATGATTTTGTAGGTTAAGTTATTTATGTATGATACAAAGCAGGAAAATATATTGAGAAGGCATTATGTTTACAGAGAGCTTCTTTTTAAGTGTTAAATGTAAACATATATTTTTAATGCATACTTCAGTACTATTTAACAAAATCAAAACAAATTGTGATGATACAATTGGCAGTGTTATGCATGTTGTCAGTGACAAAAATAAAACCATTTTGGTAGTATTGACATGTACTTTTGATTTAATATATACTTTGTGAACATAACTTGTTTCTGTAGGTATTCTTTATTTAGATAAATACTTAGGATTATTTAAAGGCTCTATAATTTACGATGTAAAATTAGGCTTGAGGTGTAAAATATACTTTTCTCCTGGTAGTGAAAGGAGAACACTATATTAACATTGCCCCAGTCTTGGAAACAAAGTTGGCATTTCAAATATATGTGAGATTATATTTTTCTTTACTTCAAGTAACAGATTCTTTACATAGTGGGAGACTACAAAATTTCATACATGTGTCAAGCATACTTAAGCGTTTTCTAATAACTGAATCAAGTATTGGTTTTTAAACATACTTTAATTAAACTTAAAAATTCAGTTCTTCACACTGGCCACATTTTTTTATTATAAAATATATACAACAGAAAATTTACCATCTTAACCATTTTTAAGTTGTGCAGATGAGTAAGAGTAAGAACATTCACACTGTTACACTACCACCACTACTATCTAGAACTTTTCATCGTCCAAACAAACTAGCCATTATGCAGTGATTCCCCACTCTCTCTTCCTTCAGCCCATTTTTCTAGGTAAATGTTTTTCTGCTTTCTGTTTCTAAGAATTTTACTGTTCTAGGTACCTCATGTAAATAGAATCATACAGTACTTCTCCTTTAGTGCCTCTTTTTTCACTTAACATGTCTTCAGGATTCGTCCATATTATAACATGTATCAGAATTTCATTCCTTTTTAGAGCTGAATAATATTCCATAACATGTATTTTCCACATTTTGATGATCCATTCGCCCAATGAATATTTGGGTTGTTTCTGTCTTTTGGCTATTGTCAATAATGTTGCTTTTAATATTGATGTATAAATATCTGTTCAAGTGTCTGCTTTTACTGCCTTTTGGTATGTACCCAGAAGTGGAATTGCAGTTCTCACGGTTTCACCTGAGAAAAGCACAGGAGCCAGGAGACCACACTGCTGAGTAGCTGGGCTCTGGTTCTGCCTCGACGATTTGGGGCAAGTTACTACTGGGATTCATTGTCCTCCTCTGGAAAATGGGGAAATTCATCCCTGCTTCACAGACTATGTGTGGAAAATACTTTGCCCAGGACCTGAAACATTAAATGCTTATTTTTGCCCACACATTCCATTGGGCCAAGAGTGAAGGGCTATTTAAGAATTAGGCATAAAACTAGGATAGTCAAACAAACTAGGTGCTCATGAACAAATGTCTGATTTCCAGGCAAACTGTGCACTTAGATGCTTTTTCCTCATTTGATCTATAGGAGCCTCATTAACTGGCAAAGCTACTTGAACACCTTTTCCAAAGATAGAGCCAAAATCTTTTAAGACATCATAAATGACAAGTTTGGCTGTCTTTTTTTTTTTCCCCCTTAAGATTTTATTTATTTAAGAGAATGAGACAGAGCAGAGAGAGAGCACAAATGGTGAGGAGGGGTAGAGGGAGAAACGGACTCCCCACTGAGCAGGGAGCCCGATGTGGGCTCGATCTCAGGATCCCGGGATCATGACCTGAGCCAAAGGCAAACGCTTAACCGACTGAGCCACTCAGGCACCTAGTTTGGCTCTCTTTGTTAAGAAACTGTAAAAGGGCTGATTTTCTTTTCCCAAAATCCATTTGTTGAAGCCCTAACTCCAGTACTTTGGAATATGTCTATTTTTGGAGAGCCTTTAAAGAGGTGATTAAATGAGTCCTTTAGGGTGAGTCCTAATCCAAACTGACTGCTATCCTGTATAAGAGGAAATTAAGACGCGCAGAGGTCTGAGGGATGCACATGCTTGGAGGAGAGATTGAAGAAGGAGCAGAGTGCAGCCGTCTGCAAGGCCAGGAGAGAGGCCTCAGAAGGAAACAGACCTCCAAAAACCTCGATCTCCAAAACACAGACCTCCAGACTGCGAGAAAATAAATTTGTTGATTAAGCCTACCAGTCTGTGGTACTTTGTTATAGCAGTTATAGCAAACTAATATATAAACACAGAAAGTGCTTATAGACAAAACAGTATAGTTAGCACTTGGCTTAGTAATGCCTATAGACTAAATAATTTGGGAGGATGAAATAAACTAGAGGTTTTTGTTTGTTTCTAAAGAACTTGATGGGCTGCCTTACCTCGTCATTAGTAAAGAGGTTCTGTGTTCAGTCCTACTCAGAACTGAGTTGAAAATAACCCAGTGATCAGGCAGATACTTGGGAAGCCAGAAACCTGAAAAAATAATGATTTTGGTTGGCGATCCTTCTGAAATGATGTATTTCTTAATTTTTGAGGTACATGGACCTGTGGTTCTAGAGACTGACTCATTGAAGGTTACCATTTAAATTAGTAGAAACCTTTGGGAAAATCTCCATCCATGTGGCAGAAATGTGTGTCTCACTAGCATTGAAACCCATATAAAGTAGTAGAAATTGGTTGAGTCATTTATATGCGAGTGAGTTGAAGAGTCAGAAGTGAATTGTATCACTGAGAAATCAAAATGATAGCCTACTGTGGCTTAGGACCTCACAGAAGGAAATGGATTAATATAAAAGTGCTCTGATACCAATGGCAAGAGTACTTATATATTAATTCCATAAAATGAACAGTTAGATTCTTTAATAAAGAAGAAAATGGATTTATTTTTCCAAGGACTTTAATTATGAATCAATAAAACATTTTGTAAATGTAAACAAAATTGTCCCTGTGCCTATTTTAAAAACTGGGCCTTCAGTTATTTTTACATAAATTATTGTCACAAGAGGGAATCCTTACAGAATTAAGGAACAAAGGACAGGATTTGCAAGTGAGGGCTGAAGGCAGGCAGTCTAGGAAAAGTAAATCTTGTTTGCGCGTTTTTGGCAGTGAACTAATTAGTTGGTATTCTGTCTTGAGTAGGCTTGGTTGTAGCAAATAAACCCATTTTCGTTGTTTGTGGATTCTCCAAGAAGCACTGAGTCCTTGCATCGCCACCTCCACCTTGTTGAAATCAGGTCTGCATGGTTTCCCTCATGAGGATATCTCATTATATGGGATTTTATAAATTCTCCAGGGAATTTTAATGAAATTTCTAGCACTTTTACAAAGAGAAGGAGAAAACTGACAATACAGTGTTAGAAAAGAAGCCAGTGCATTGTGTAGGTGCAGGAAGGAAGTCACAGTGGCTTATTCTGGCTGAAATGGAAAGTTCTATTTAAGGAAGAGTAGGAGAGGGCTTGGAAAGGCAGGCTGAGGCCACATTATGAACATCCCTGAACAAGTCTGACTTTTTATTCCGTAGGTAGCAAAAGAAAGGAAGAGACATGATTAAGCTCTGTTCTGGGCCTTGCTTTGCAAGCAAATTAATAAATGCAGGATGGATTGGAGCAGGGAGAAACTAAAAGCAGAGACTAGGAGGCCACCATAGTAACCCCAACCCAAGTGCTCAAGTCAGGTAGATTCGAGAGACGTTACAAAAGAAAAACACATGGGATATAATGGTAACTTATGGGGAAAACAGAGAAGAAATACGGTGACTGAATTCTTTTTTTCTTTTTTCTTTTTTTTTTTTTTTTAGATTTTATTTATTTGACAGATCACAGGCAGAGAGGCAGGCAGAGAGAGAGGGGAAGCAGGCTCCCCGCCAAGCAGAGAATTCCATGCAGGGCTCCATCCCAGGAACCCGGGATCATGACCTGAGCCGAAAGCAGAGGCTTTAACCCACTGAGCCACCCAGGTGCCCTGGGTGACTGAATTCTTAACCCCAATACCAAAGATTAAGTATCAGTAAATGGAAATCAAAAAGGAAATCTAGGGCCATCTGAATAGCTCGGCTAAATGTCCAACTCTTGATTCAGCTCAGGTCTGGATCCCAAGGTCCTGAATTCCATCCCCACATTGGGCTGGGTGTGGAGCCGACTTTAAAAAAAAAATCTGGTTTTACTGGAAATGTGAGTTTTTTTTTTATTAACATGTAATATATTATTTGTTTCATGAGTACAGTGATTCATCAGTCTTAGGTCACAGCTCTCACATAGCGCATACCCTCCCCAGTGTCCATCACTCACTCCCCTCCCCTCCAGCAACCCTTAGTTTCCTGAGATTAAGAGTCTCTTATGGGGGGCACCTGGGTGGCTCAGTGGTTAAGCCTCTGCCTTCAGCTCGGGTCATGATCTCAGGGTCCTGGGACCGAGTCCCACATCGGGCTCTCTGCTCTGCGGGGAGCCTGCTTCCTCCTCTCTCTCTCTCTCTCTCTCTCTCTCTCTCTCTGCTTTGCCCTCCCCCCCCCTTTGATCTCCCTTTTTCAAAAAAAAAAAAATTTTTAAAAAAAAAAAAAGTCTCTTATGGTTTGTCTCCCTCTCTGGTTTCATCTTGTTTCATTTTTCCCCCCCTTCCCCTATGATCCTCTCTCTTGTTTCTCAAATTCCCCGTATCAGTGAGATTGTATGATAATTGTCTTTCTCTGACTGACATATTTCGCTTAGCATAATACCCTCTAGTTCCATCCACATCATTGCAAATGGCAAGATTTCATTTTTGATGGCTGCATAGTATTCCTGTGTGTGTGTGTGTGTGTGTGTGTGTGTGTGTGTGTGTGTGTGTGTGTGTGTGTTTACCACATCTTCTTTATCCATTCATCTGTTCATGGATGTCTAGGCTCGTTCCATAGTTTGACTAAAAGTGAGTTTTATTTTAGACATATTGAGCATATATATTAAATCTCACCCTTGCCTACCCTTCTAATTCCCTTACCAACTCCATTTTTTTTTTTCTCACAACAGTTACACTCTAATGCAATTTATTTCTACTTATTGGCTATTGTCTATCTCCCTCTACCTGAAAAATCTGCACAAGGCAGGGATAGTTTTTGGTTTTGTTCATTAATGTGTCTCAAGGATCTTGAACAGTTTCTGGCACATAATAAGGGTTCAATAAATATACGTTAGATGAATGCAAGGGCAGAGTTGACATCCAAGACAACATCTACCATGTGGCTGAAAAATAACAAGATTGAAAACTTCCTATGTAT